TTATGTTCTGGTTGTAAGTCCTGTTTTATTGCATCTCAGTGTTTGATACTAATTTCCTAATGAGCAGAAGCAACAAATGTCATGCCATCTGCAACATCTGAAATACCCTGAGCAAATGTACCTGCCATTTCAGCAGTGTTGCTTGGTTGCCTGCTCAGGTCATATAACGTGTTCACTGCCTGTTATGATAGTTGCTTATTTATAAGCTTGATGAACGGTAAACGATGACATGTTTTAGTTCATAGGCGATGGTCGCCATGCTTTTATTACTAGCGCCAAAAACAGTTAGTACAAAAGTGGCATTGGCACTTTAGACGAAACGGGATTTACATATAAACGAAATAAGATTGTTAATACATCTTACAACATCCCCCTCCTTCAAGAAGGTTATACATAAACACAAATGCTTATAGCACCTTGAGTATCTAGAGTCTTTGGATAATGACTAGATAAAATACTGGAGTTGTATATGGTGAAAAAGTGGTAACTCCATTGCACAATGGGGATGTGTATGTTCAATACACTAGATGGCTAAGATGAGCAATTACTGATTTGTAGTACAGTTCACAGATTAGAGTCATTTGCACTGATAACCTGAAATAAAGAAAAAAACACACATTGCAATCCACTTTTGCAATAACACATGAAATTAACTTTGGAGTCCATGATAACAGAAATTTTTACATTATCAGACACATTAACTGAAGATATTAGATCAGTCTTTGAGTTTACACTTGATTGACATGGTACCAACACACTTGATCTCCAGACCGTTGTAAGCGACGAGCTTGATACCGTCTGCAGGTTGGAGAATATCCGCATATGGACGATCTACGTACATTTGTCGAAATGTTCGAACAGAAAGTGTGTTTCAAGCCGCGCCAGTGTCGACCTTTAGACGAAGACTGTGGATCCCCTTGATCATCGGAGCTTTGACCTTGAGATCTGTGTAAGCTGAATCACGGCTTGTGTCGATAGCATCCATGCATTGGTTGGATATGGTGACTGCATGATACAGAACAGAGTAATCTTCATCATCGGTAGTAACTGGATCGTTGTTACCATGGTTACTGTCAACTGAGTTGAAGGTCTTTGCTGGTTTCTGTCTATGTCTACTTTTTGATCGGTGTCTACCTTGTCGAGATGTCTTCCGCTTGGTTTTTCGGCAGAACTTGGACCAATGACCTTTGGTATCACAAGCATTACAGGTGTCTTGATAAGCTGGACAGGACTTCGGCTTGTGTTTCAGACTGCAATTCTGACAGGCTCGATACTTGTGGTTGATGGCGTTTACTTTGGCAGTGGTAGCTGGTGTTGGATTGAGATCTTTGACTTGACGATGCCCTGCGCTGATCGCTTCATATCGCCGACCTTCTTCTAGAGCATTGGAGAGACTATAGCCTTTGGGTTGTTTCAGCAAATCATGTTGTAGAGCCTCAAAAGGAGTGCTAGCAATTAGCAATTCCAATATTCTTTCTTGAAGTTCTGGTTCATCGAACTAGCACTTTAATGCTAGTGTCTTGTACCTGGTTACAAATTGATCTATGTTTTCTTCCTCCTTTTGTCTGAATTGCATCAACTCAAGTCTATACACTCTAAAATTAACTTGTAATTTGAGTTGTTTTTCGAAATAAGTCCATATTTTATCTGGATATTTTAGGTCACGTTCACTCAAACCTGAAGCGTTCAGCCGACGTAAACCCTCGTTGCCAAGTCCACGTTTTATCTTCAAAGCGATTTTTTCTTTGTCAGTAATTTCTTCATCCTCACAGAATAATTGCAAAGTCTGTTTGAATAACCTGAATGATTCGCCGATATCCGCCTGTTGCCAGTCCATAAGAGGAATTCGAGACATGCTTCTGGTTAATGATGACACCAAAAGTTCGAAAACGAAACTAGGTTACACACGTGTTTCTTGCCGGTATGGCAAAAGTTCGTTTGATGGTCAAACTTGCGTGTTTAGCGCTGTCCGCTACTTATGGCATAATCCTGGTGATTAATCTTGTTTACCGCTGCCACCATGTTATGATAGTTGCTTATTTGTAAGCTTGATGAATGGTAAACGATGACATGTTTAAGTTAATAAGCAATGGTCGCCATGCTTTTATTACTAGCGCCAAAAACAGTTAGTACAAAAGTGGCATTGGCACTTTAGACGAAACAGGATTTACATATAAACGAAATAAGATTGTTAATACATCTTACAACACTGCCAATGCCCATGGCAGATAAACCCGTGGCAATAAATGTCTTAAAGCTTCTGGGATCTTGCGTCTCATGCCTTGCTATCCCATCCATAATTTGCCATATCACTGAATTCACCTTTGGCTGTTTGAACTTGTTGATATTTGAGGGACATAGATGTTTATCGAACAATTCTGTTCTTTGTTTCTCCTCCAACCTTGTGTTTTTTAACTATGAATGAGATTGGCTACCCCTTTGTCAACAGGTGGTCCCGATTTCTTGGCTACTTTGTATTTATCTGCAATCTGTTCCACAGAGGTTAAATATACCGTTGCCCGACGCCATGTCAAGCAAGATTTCAAAGTCGAGCGAGTAATACACATGTAAGCATGCCTGGGGACAAGTAATGATTTGATCAGTAAATGGGGTTTGATGTCTCGCTTTTCTCAGAGAAATCTGTGTTTGAATGATCACATTCATCCTCCACCTTCCCGTTAGATTGCTGAAACTTGATCTGACATGTGATAAATGTCCATGATATAAATTGAATATTCCCCACATATACACTAATGAAGCAGATGAGACTGCTATCCTTCAATAGCTTACCGTATGTTTTTGAGTAGAGTGTACACACAAGCATAGTACGTAGTTTACCTCCATGCTCCCATGACTAAACAAAACTTGAACTCTTTGGTGTCAGCAAATATATTGAGTGAAGCGGCATGGGTTGAGTCCAGTGTTTTGAGTGTGTTGTTGATCTGAATTTATGGAATCACCGACAACAGCCTTTACACAAAATATGGCTCTGTCTATGGTCAAGCAGTTTGCTCAGACTGTAATACTTGTAATGAACTTATGACAAGCACTGAAAGCATGTAGCACGGCAACTTGGTAAGCTAACTTGAGGTGGGCACCCCTAAAGAAAAAGCCTTGCAAAAGTTTCGTTCTACACTGCAGGGCACTTTTATGACGTCATATCGCTCATTGTGACGCAAAAGATATGACGTCTGTCATATTATATAGAAAGGTGCCAAATAGCCAGCTTTGTTGTCCTCAAAACGAAAAATACATTCTCTTTGTTGATTTCTAGTGTTTTCTGCACGTAATATATTGCCACAGATCTTTTGAATATTATAGTAACAACTTTGCTTTGTAGCCTATAATTTCTTAATTACGCATTTGCCCAATGACTGTTAAAGAAGTACTATTCTAAAAATATTAGCTTCTGCAGTGATGCGGCCGTCAAATCGGCTGTTTCAATCAGAGGGGGTTTATTGTGATTTGATGCCTCTGACCAAATCAAAATCGAGTATTTTCCAAATTGAAGTTAGAATACCACAGTAAACAGTTTCCTTTTCACTCCATGTGTGTTGACATTGATGTTATTATCAGCTAATGTTTTGTATCCTTGTAATTGTGGAAATAAAATATTACAACATTATCCTTTTTATTTGTTAGTGGCAACTTGAGTGACTGAAGTTTCCATGGTTACTGCTGCTGTCATACTGCAGAGATCAGACAAATGCTCCACTCAAACAGATGACAGCCATATATGTTTATGCAGAAACATTCATCGAGGAAAGCTTCAGTCATATCACACAGCATAAAAATCAGGTGAATAGGAAATAATTTACAATCATGTTTGCTCTACCCCTATGTGTAGTGTATATATATTTATCATATAATGGGTAGGTTTCTCGTCAGGATAAAGCCAACAGATAAAAACGATATCCGTTGGGGTCATATGCGGATAGAGATGCAAATATCAGGTGAAGTAGGGACAACTTTCAGTGTTTATAAACAAACATGGCGTCGCCCTTGTCATTCGGCGATCGAGTCAGAATCTGGATAAACTAAAGGGATAATTGCTATCATTATCAAAAGAACAGTCTAATATACTGAAAATCAGTGTCCAACTGTGACGTAGCTAAGGCATTTTATAAGTTTGGGCAACTTTGGAGATAGAAGTTTTGAAACAATTTTACGAGGGCACTAGGCCTAGCCAAGCGGGATCAGTAATATCTGTGCTTGTGCTTGCCAAGGCTTGCGAAATACAATGTTCATTCCTAATGCAGGATATTTACCATCCCAAAACACACTCGTGTGATAACCTCCCTCCCTCTCTCTATATGTAGTATAGTTATGCATGGGGATGATTGGGCAATTCAGCAATATTGTGTATCTTTCAAGGTATCTTAGGTTTCGATACAATACAAAACATTTAATTTCATGTGGTCTATAATCATGGTATCCAAGGAACTCATGAATTTACGGCACACAAAGCGGAACATTACACCAGGTGAGGTTCTCCGTCTTCTTATCAGGACATCCATGAAGATGAGCGTTAGAATAGGTCTTCAGCAACCCATGCTTGCCGGAAAGGGCGACTATACTTTTCGTGAGAGGCAACTAAGGGGAAAGGATGGTCAGACTCGGTGACTTGGCTCTAGCATTTCTTTGTATCCCAATTGCATGGATGAGGTCATAATGTCAATCACTGGATTGCCTGGTCCTGACTCATTTATCTACAGACCGCCGTCATATAGCTGGAATATTGCTGAGTGCGGCGTTAAACAACCAGCCAACAACAACAACAACATTGTGATAAGGTGATCATGTCAACTTCTCTATGGACTTTGATGGATAACCAACTTGAACATGAACAGCTGTCACTTTTTATTAAAATTCCTGCAGATTTTATACAAAGTCACTGGGAGTGAGTGACTATTAGGGCTATTTTCACTGTGGCCAAGTGGAGAGCGAAAGATCGGGGCCAACATCACATCATATCAAGAGCAACATACAACAACACTTAGTGAAGGTTTATTGTTTATTTCATGACTTGGTTTGTGCAGCAGCCCAGCTTGGCGTCGGACCACTCTCCAGTTCGGGAGTGATGACCACAAACTGTTAACAACGTAGGTTTATGTATACATAGTGGACAGTACGAAATATCACCAGCTGGCTCTCCATCAGCCCACCGACCACCCAGGGGCTGACCGGTCAGTTGACGAAGGCCAGAACACGAGTAGGTCATACAATACACAGAACACGAGTGAGACAGAGTTGCAATAGGAAGTCTTGTCTAGACAGATTGGTCAAGACAACAGATACACAAACAAATTGTTCACCTTTCTTTGTGGTCAGCACAGTTCATACCTGAACGTCGGTAAATGAGGGATAAGATATGGAAGAAGCAGGAGCCAGTTGTTGCACAAGTTGGACTGGCGGCGTATGTACCAATAGTTTGTATCTCTTCACACTCAAAACTTGGCATCTTATCAATGAAATTTAAAAAATAAATCTTGTGATTTTTTTGGATACAATAATTTAATACAATATATAAAATATTTTTGTCGATCTTACAAAAATTTGGGAATTCTTTCACCAATATCACAAGAATGTCTGTCTAGTCTTCAGTTTCAAGCCCACGAATACAACTTGTGCCACGCCTTGCTCTCATAGGAATCTTTAAACAGTGATTTGTGCAGAAATTACCAAGTTCAGAGCACAAAAACCATTGTTTTTCTGTTCAGAATTTTAAAGTTTTGTATTAAAACATTATATTACAACTTTCAATGAAAACAGAGCTGTACAAATGGAACATGAAAATATCTCTACACATCATCTGAGAAAAACACCACCCTTGACAGCATGAGTTAAGATGTCAGATGCATCGCACGCCCTTAATAACTGCTGACTACATCATCATCATCGGGAACAACTGCATTGGGCACACCAGCATCTGCAGTTGACGTCCCCGACAGATGCATCTGACAGCTCATGGTATAGAATGAAAGACTACATCTCACTGAGGTAAGAAATAGTATATTTAGACAGCAAACAACACACTGACAAAATTAACTTTTGATGTTTTTAGATCAGAGCCAAATTTACTTAACACATGAACCAGCATTCCTAATTTTGAAAGAATTAATTTTAGTCTGCATCAGCAGTATCAGATTCTTGCACTTAGTTCAACATTTGTTTTAAATTAATTGAAATTGTACATATTTCCCAGAATGCACTGTTTACTGTCTAAACAACAGCTCCACATCAGCGACACTTATAATCAGAAAACCTACAGCACTATCTATGTTCAGCTGAAGATTGTCAACTAACATGTGGTTCTAATAAGATTCATGTGATTAAACAATGACACAAATTGCCAAACCTTAAGAAATATAAACATGATCGTTTACTGCTCTAGTGAAAGATCGGATGTAGAACGTTACAATGTAAAGACTCACACAATCTGATGAAGATACACAATGTATGGAACTCAAATATACCATCCATTCCTCTCCTCGACCTACAGTGACTTTGGCACACATCAGTCTAATAGATATCTTGTAAATAAAATATAAAAATCTTAAAACAAAAAGTAAGAAACAACGATAATTAAGGTTGGTCCTAGGAACTGCAATGGAAAGAAGCGAAGATGGAGATTCAAGGAAACGGAAGCCAACAAAACAGATGGTTTTATAACGACAACACTTCTGAAAATGTCCAGATGTAACATGTAATGTATTTTCCAAAAGTCATGAAACTAGCTAGATAGAAATCAGCTTGATAGTGATAAAAAATAGATAAATGTTCCCATCATCATTCCACTTCTAAAAACACACATGTATCAAATTGTACATAGCAAATCATCGTAAAATACTTTCTGTTACATGGACGATGAAGGTGATGAGAAAAGATGATGAGGAGAATGTGATCTACAAATGGAATATTAAACCATAGACTAGCAGTGGAGATCACACCAACCTTGGAGATATAGATCTGGGTCTCGTTCCACGAAGTGATCTCTGGGCTAAGATGATCGTAGCTCCTATACTTTAACATAGGCTTACGACAGTCATAGTGCCAAGATTGCTTTGTGGAACGGGCCCTGGTCAAGAAAGTCTGGTGTCCATGACAACCTGGAAGTCAGATTGTATAATGGCCCATATTGCAATAATGGTAAGAACATCAGTCCTGCTTGGTTGTACTTCTTGAAGCCTTTCTATGAATGTAGGGTGAAGAAGCTAGGTTTATTGGCGGACTGAAAAGCTGCCCAGGATGAAAGATGTAAGTGGTCCAGTGAAACATAACTGAATGTATAACTCATGTCGTGGCGGGAATTAAGTGTCCATCTCTCGAACATGTTTCCACTTTGTATTGCTGACAATATGGCTCCTGACAGCCCTGTCTGGCATTTGGGAACTTTGTCTACCAAATGCCATCAAATCCTTTCATCAACATCAGATACCTCCAAGCACATATTTGGTGTGGTTGGAAATCACTAGTGCCCAAATTATTTGCTTAGCATATATAGACATCCTGTGATGAGTAATTGGGTATTAAAGATTTTTAAATGTCTGTTTTTGATTTTATGACTTTAAAATGAGATAATCTTCAGATCCAATCAAATATGGCCTAACTTGTGGCTTGCAGATACTTAGAGATATCCTGGAGATCCTGGCGCCTTAGAGATAATCTGTGGATCTAGACAACTAAAACCACTATTGGATCACAATAACAACACAATCATGAGATCTCAGAAACTAGGCGAAAACCTGAAGATCTCAGCACATGAGATATAACCTGTGGACCCTTACAACCATGAAATAGCCCGTGGACACTTACAACTATGACATAGCCCGTGGACACTTACAACTATGAAATAGCCCATGGACACTTACAACTATGAAATAGCCCGTGAAGTTCATACAACTATGAAATAGCCCGTGAACCCATACAACTATGAAACAGCCCGTGAACCCATACAACTATGAAATAGCCCGTGAACCCATACAACGATGAAATAGCTTGTGAACCCTTACAACTATGAAATAGCTTGTGAACCCTTACAACTATGGTATAGCCCGTGAACCCATACAACTATGAAATAGCCCGTGAACCCATACAACTATGAAATAGCCCGTGAACCCATACAACTATGAAATAGCTTGTGAACCCTTACAACTATGAAATAGCCCGTGAACCCATACAACTATGACACAGCCCGTGAACCCATACAACTATGAAATAGCCCGTGAACCCATACAACTATGAAATAGCCCGTGAACCCATACAACTATGACACAGCCCGTGAACCCATACAACTATGAAATAGCCCGTGAACCCATACAACTATGAAATAGCCCGTGAACCCATACAACTATGAAATAGCCCGTGAACCCATACAACTATGAAATAGCCCGTGAACCCATACAACTATGAAATAGCTTGTGAACCCTTACAACGATGAAATAGCCCGTGAACCCATACAACTGTGAAATAGCCCGTGAACCCATACAACTATGACACAGCCCGTGAACCCTTACAACTATGAAATAGCCCGTGAACCCATACAACTATGAAATAGCCCGTGAACCCATACAACTATGAAATAGCTTGTGAACCCTTACAACGATGAAATAGCCCGTGAACCCATACAACTGTGAAATAGCCCGTGAACCCATACAACTATGAAATAGCTTGTGAACCCATACAACTATGAAATAGCCCGTGAACCCATACAACTATGAAATAGCCCGTGAACCCATACAACTATGAAATAGCCCGTGAACCCATACAACTATGAAATAGCTTGTGAACCCATACAACTATGGTATAGCCCGTGAACCCATACAACTGTGAAATAGCCCGTGAACCCATACAACTATGAAATAGCTTGTGAACCCATACAACTATGAAATAGCCCGTGAACCCATACAACTATGAAATAGCCCGTGAACCCATACAACTATGAAATAGCCCGTGAACCCATACAACTATGAAATAGCTTGTGAACCCTTACAACTATGAAATAGCCCGTGAACCCATACAACTATGACACAGCCCGTGAACCCATACAACTATGAAATAGCCCGTGAACCCATACAACTATGAAATAGCCCGTGAACCCATACAACTATGACACAGCCCGTGAACCCTTACAACTATGAAATAGCCCGTGAACCCATACAACTATGAAATAGCCCGTGAACCCATACAACTATGAAATAGCTTGTGAACCCTTACAACGATGAAATAGCCCGTGAACCCATACAACTGTGAAATAGCCCGTGAACCCATACAACTATGACACAGCCCGTGAACCCTTACAACTATGAAATAGCCCGTGAACCCATACAACTATGAAATAGCCCGTGAACCCATACAACTATGAAATAGCTTGTGAACCCTTACAACGATGAAATAGCCCGTGAACCCATACAACTGTGAAATAGCCCGTGAACCCATACAACTATGAAATAGCTTGTGAACCCTTACAACTATGAAATAGCCCGTGAACCCATACAACTATGACACAGCCCGTGAACCCTTACAACTATGAAATAGCCCGTGAACCCATACAACTATGAAATAGCCCGTGAACCCATACAACTATGAAATAGCTTGTGAACCCTTACAACGATGAAATAGCCCGTGAACCCATACAACTGTGAAATAGCCCGTGATCCCTTACAACTATGGTATAGCCTGTGAACCCATACAACTATGAAATAGCCCGTGATCCCTTACAACTATGGTATAGCCTGTGAACCCATACAACTATGAAATAGCCCGTGAACCCATACAACTATGAAATAGCTTGTGAACCCATACAACTATGAAATAGCTTGTGAACCCATACAACTATGAAATAGCCCGTGAACCCTTACAACTATGAAATAGCTTGTGAACCCTTACAACTATGAAATAGCCCGTGAACCCATACAACTATGAAATAGCCTGTGAACCCATACAACTATGAAATAGCCCGTGAACCCATACAACTATGAAATAGCTTGTGAACCCATACAACTATGAAATAGCTTGTGAACCCATACAACTATGAAATAGCCCGTGAACCCTTACAACTATGAAATAGCCCGTGAACCCATACAACTATGAAATAGCTTGTGAACCCTTACAACTATGAAATAGCCCGTGAACCCATACAACTATGAAATAGCCCGTGAACCCATACAACTATGAAATAGCTTGTGAACCCATACAACTATGAAATAGCCCGTGAACCCATACAACTATGACATAGCCCGTGAACCCTTACAACTATGAAATAGCCCGTGAACCCATACAACTATGAAATAGCCCGTGAACCCATACAACTATGAAATAGCCCGTGAACCCATACAACTATGAAATAGCCCGTGAACCCATACAACTATGAAATAGCTTGTGAACCCATACAACTATGAAATAGCTTGTGAACCCATACAACTATGGTATAGCCCGTGAACCCATACAACTATGAAATAGCCCGTGAACCCATACAACTATGAAATAGCCCGTGAACCCATACAACTATGAAATAGCTTGTGAACCCATACAACTATGAAATAGCCTGTGAACCCATACAACTATGAAATAGCCCGTGAACCCATACAACTATGAAATAGCTTGTGAACCCTTACAACTATGAAATAGCTTGTGAACCCATACAACTATGAAATAGCCCGTGAACCCATACAACTATGAAATAGCCCGTGAACCCATACAACTATGAAATAGCCCGTGAACCCATACAACTATGAAATAGCTTGTGAACCCATACAACTATGAAATAGCCTGTGAACCCATACAACTATGAAATAGCCCGTGAACCCATACAACTATGAAATAGCCCGTGAACCCATACAACTATGAAATAGCTTGTGAACCCATACAACTATGAAATAGCTTGTGAACCCATACAACTATGAAATAGCCCGTGAACCCATACAACTATGAAATAGCTTGTGAACCCATACAACTATGAAATAGCTTGTGAACCCATACAACTATGAAATAGCCCGTGAACCCATACAACTATGAAATAGCTTGTGAACCCATACAACTATGAAATAGCCCGTGAACCCATACAACTATGAAATAGCCCGTGAACCCTTACAACTATGAAATAGCCCGTGAACCCATACAACTATGAAATAGCCCGTGAACCCATACAACTATGAAATAGCCCGTGAACCCATACAACTATGAAATAGCTTGTGAACCCTTACAACTATCGTACACTTCATAGCACCTTTGATACTGTGATAAACTCCCCCAGAGGGACCCGTCACTATCATAGGGCAGCTAGGGCCAAGTCAGAAGGGGGAGGGATGCTAACCCATGGGTGAGGAAGGAGGAGATGAGGGAGAAAAAGAGAGGGAAGGGTCATGGAAACAATACACAATTGTCGGAAGGATCACATAAAAAAAGATAAAGTCTTTGGAATGGTTTAACAGAAATGTTATGGTTGTGTGAAATCAATACTACAAGTGCAATTTTCATGATAGCTATGGCATTATTAGATCCCTGGGGAGGATAATTAATATCTATAGGCTGGTGGGATGCAGACTGACATAACGGTTAAGGCAATTTATTTTATTATGCTCAAGAATAAACCACACAATCTATAATAAACGACAGCTCCCTCCCAACAGTCCATGGTGGTCATTAATCAATTAGAAGATAATGTCAATGAGAATGACACATGTGGATGATCATCTCTAGCCTAACAACAAGCTCCTTCACACACTTCCTGGATGAGGCTTCTATGAACATCAACTGTAGCAGCACATGATGACCTAGACTACGGATGTGGAGGATGAACACCAACTAGCACTGACCCGTATAGTAGATTGTCTCCCTTGGTAGAGGCAGGCAGACATGGAGACGTGTCATACTCATCGTGTTTCAAGATATGTTTCATGATCAGGGTAAACGTCCTAGAACTATAAGACTGATCTAGTATCTACAGCCAGTCACTGTGGCAGCATCATACAAAGCAGATAGATATCCATTGCACTAGGTTTGGAATATAAAATATTCTCTATAAACATTAAAATAAGAAACTGGTTTGCTAGGACTGATTTTACTGTTCAGTTATAGAATCAACAAATAATACTGATCTACCGTTCACACACCACAAATCAAGGTCACTGTTAAGATCTCACACAAATGACAACACAAAGTCTAATGTTTGTACTCTAGCATTCAAATAGCCCTATTTGTATACATGTATTGAAATAACAAACTAAATGTCATACAATGTCAGTTAAGATGTAAGGTTGAATGATCGAGAATGTGAGTTGGGTTTAACACCGATTGGAACAGCATATCATTTCTTCCACGGCATGACAACCCAATCTGGAAGGAGAGCCAGAGTGACGTTTGTCATTAACATTTACTAATTGGTTCAGTATCTTCATGGGCTTGGTGTCGCCAAGAACAAATGATTAGGTTTGGTGTCGCCAGGAACAAATGATTAGGTTTGGTGTCGCCAGGAACAAATGATTAGGTTTGGTGTCGCCAGGAACAAATGATTAGGTAACACCACAACCATGATTCTGCAGCTAAGGGAGTTAACTCTGTACAGTGTACACCTTCCATACCACTAAGCAATCAGCCTCCATCAAATAACAACTGTTGCTTGTTATTCTAAAGGTAAAAAGCTCATTATTGGAATGTGGTAAAATGAAGTGTTAAAAAATATTCCACTGTACATCTCATAAAATGTAATGTCTCAACAGGCTTGATGACATGATTTGTGTTAACACGGCTTCTACTCAGGTAGAAATATAACTTGTATAAAGAGCAGCAGGAAATGGAGTATGTAAAACTCATGCTTTTTTCAATGGGAATAATATCTGGCACATGCATCAAACAAGAATAAAAATTATTACAGCATGAAAACAATTTGGAAACTTAAAGATCTCTTAAAAAATGTTCCCAGTGTATGTCCATGATAACAAATAATTTATGAAATCATTATTATGTCTACTGATAGTTCAATTAAACATGCATGTAGTTCTTCTGGATGTCATTATCATTACAGAGAATCCAGCATACTTTAACGAAACATTTGTGTATATGAAATTATTTGAGAATAACTTGGCCAGAGTAAAATATATTTCTTGTTGCTCAGATCAGTTTGGTCAATATGCCAAGCCCTAAACAGCATTAGGAAAACATAGATTTTCTGGGTGATTTAGGACTAATTTTCTAAACAATACCCTTTAAATATAAAAATAATAAAAATACACCATAAAAGACATTTAAAAAAAAACTTCACTTAATATTTGTTATATTTTACTTTTGCAAAATTTATGATAGGCTGATCTGTGTAACAAGAAAATAAAAACATCTGGTCTTATAAAATCACTATTACCGTATTTGCCGTATTAAGCCCCTTGCAACCCTGACTAACTTTTAGACAATGTAATTTAATAAGCACCCCCTACTAAGACTGTATATGCTTGTGTATACTACATATATTTTCACAATATATAATTCCTAGTAACTATCATCTAAAAAATGTTAGCTTCACCGACATTTGAACTAAGTTTGTCCACCACCGCTCGATAACAAATATAACTCACATATCGCTTTAATAAACCCCCCTTTGTATAATTTCTAAACAGTGTGGAGATTATTACGACGAATACGGTACAGCCAACTACCAGTTACTACAGATGTATTTAATTGTTATTTTGACAACAACTATCAGTGTTGCAAAACCTTCAAATATAAAACCAGTTTTAAAACACAAAAATTTGACCGGTAGGCCAGTCACCATTGTGGGCAGCAGATCTAGTCAAGTCCTGTGGAACAGATCATTAATTGAGATTTCACAGCATATTGAACATGTAGTTTGTACTATTCAGCCTTAATCAATGAAACATTATGCATTCAGATCACTAACATTACTCCATACCAGGCAACAGCAAATAATCTTCTCAGGAATACAGAAAAATAAAACATGTTCGTTTTATATGGAAGATAGAACAAAAACTTGAGATCTTGGCTTTGTTACACCTGGTGTCTGGTGTCTGAGATTTACTAGCATATTCCAAGGACATTCTAGACAAAGTTGGGGGTAAAATCTACAAAAACATGGAAACATTCTTATTGACACTTTCTTTGGATTTATATAGGGCGGGCTAAAAAGATCAATAATCGGATTTATCGTTGATGGGAAGACATTTGTACGATTGGGAATATGAAAATTGTGTCATCAATAATATCTTACATCAACAATTGTGATGAAACAAAAATTTAAAATTACCCAAACAGAGTTGTTATTGTCAAAAATGTCAATTGCCAAAGACAGAAAGCAACTGTTTTTGTCAGAACTAAAATGTCCACAAAGTAATCCATGCAAGAAGTGTGTCGATTTCTTTCGGACTTTTTTAAAACATATTTGCCCAAAGTGACTTCTCCAATATTTATCGATCATTGATAAATATTTACTGAAAAGATTATCAAACTCTATGATCTGTATCGATAGCCAGCCCTAGCTGTATAAGGTAAAGTCATCACAAAGACAGACAAAGGAAAGCAGTTTTAGTCAGCTGAACAGTGTGTTACAATTTTTCATTTAGAAATGAGTCGAATGTTAAATTAACTTGTTTTTATGAACTCGTGAAATTTATCCTATTTTAAAATATACTTCTCAACTTTTGATACGGCTAATCAGATTCGACATTCTAAATATACACTTGACGTATGAGAATCCTGGAAAGATGAAAATAACCCTATCAAAAGTTGAGCCGCACACTATCAGAGCAATTGTTTTCATTTGCACATTGTCATCTTGGTACATTTGGGGAATTAATCCCACTGCTAGACATGTGGGATACTTTGTGTGGTATATCTTGGACACATCCCACTGCTAGACATCCCGGACACATCTCACTGCTAGACAGCTGCAGGAATAACAAAGACACAAGTCTCAGGCAACCCTGACGACTGCAGTACCAGCAACCCTGACGACTGCGGTACCAGCAACCTTGACGATAGCGGTACCAGCAACCCTGACAACTGCAGTACCAGCAACCCTGATGACTGCAGTACCAGCAACCCTGACGACTGCGGTACCAGCAACCCTGACGACTGCGGTACCAGCAACCTTGACGATAGCGGTACCAGCAACCCTGACAACTGCGGTACCAGCAACCCTGATGACTGCGGTACCAGCAACCCTGACGACTGCAGTACCAGCAACCCTGACGACTGCGGTACCAGCAACCCTGACGATAGCGGTACCAGCAACCCTGACAACTGCAGTACCAGCAACCCTGACGACTGCGGTACCAGCAACCCTGACAACTGCAGTACCAGCAACCCTGACGACAGCGGTACCAGCACACAATGGCAACAATGCACAGGAGATAGGAGACAGAGATGGCCACAGCGGCCTCAATACTTCATACAGCCCTCTAAGTTTGTTTTCTTGTTAGGGAGCCAAGCGGCTCCAAACATGAATATTTTAGGAGCCAAACCTAACTTCTTAGGAGCCAACAGATATCTAAAATAGATATTGTCACCAGTTATGTTGACTTTTAGGTAGCCAAGTGGCGAGCAGTATATAAATTAAGGTCATAGATTTAAGTCGCATTTGGCCACCAAAATGGTCGCTACTTTGAGGGCTGTTTATTGGTTAAGAATGCACTACGTTCCTCCATCACAGTGAATACATACAGCCAATCTGCCGTGTACTTGTGACGTGTTGCTATGTTTAGCTAACTAATGTAATGAGGCCATGTGTAAAACATACATTTGAAATGTCCCTGCTCGTGAATGAGCTTTCACAAATTTTTGCCTGATATCGAAGCAGAAGATATTGATATTGAAAGTACCATATAGAGATTATTCTACGAGCATGAGTGTCATACTGATTTTACAATACGAGAGTCAGAATTCTTGTATTTCCCAAATGAAGGCAAGGGTAATACATGAATTCTTATACGAGTTTCATAAAATCAGTATGACACACGTGAGTGTAATAATTTCTTTATTACCCATTATTTTTTAATCCCTTTGAGCTCCCCTTTAGAAAAATGCAGTGATCACCACGACTGTTCTCGAAAAAGACAATCTGTCGAATGACATAAAAAATCTTGATGTCACTTCTAGTGTGACGTCAATCCATCCTTACGTCACAATAAGATTCGAATGATGTCAACAATGCCGTCAGGATGATGCAAACAACACAGATGTGAAATTTGAACTAGTGTACATACAATGTTTATGAACTCAGTTATTTCTAACCCCATGGGTATTAATGTTGTTTACACAATGTAACCTCAGCGTTCATTGATCTGTGCATTCACTGGTATCCCCCTGGCTTGAGTCCGGCCACATCTTGATTTGCTGGTAAAAAATAGTCTTCACCATAAATGTATTAAAGGATGTTGGAGGAACGCAGTGCAGAGAAGAGTGAGTGAGTGAGTGAGTTTGATTTTACGCCGCTTTTAGCAATATTCCGGCGGGGGACACCAGAAATGGGCTTCACACATTGTACCCATGTCGGGAATCGAACCCAGGTCTTCGGCGTGACGAGCGAACGCTTTAACCACAAGGCTACCCGACCGCCCCAGTGCAGAGAAGACCCGTGATGTATTCACAATGAGATATTAGTGTTCTCACTGTTACCATGACGATGTCAGAGTGCTATACCACTACCAGCCTTTATAGTTCTTGTTTGGTTTGAGAAAGATCCAGCATTGTACTGTTTCTTAGACAGGGAGAACATGTAATATTATGGTAAACTGCCACCCACACTATATCCGTGCTCAATTCACGGGAGCAGCAATAGCTAAATTAAGGTCACCAATAGAAACATCTCGGAAAAACAGGATAAATATCTGAAATAAAAACTCAACAAAAAACAGGAAAAAAGGAATTTCAGGTTGCTCCAAGACTAGAAGAAAAGTATTTGTGGTAACATAACAAAACACTTGATAGTCAACATTCATAATATGACTGAATTGTACAAAGCCACATGGATATCAACATAGCAATATTGCATAAATAGGAAATATATACAAACAGACGTCAGGACAGAAGGAGACACATGGAGACACAAACTGCTCTAGATGTGACACGCTTATCTCCCCTGGTCAACTGAGAGAAAAGGAGGGAGGTGGGCGGTAAAATGGATGCCATACGCTAGAAACTAGTTGGATGCTGACTAGCAACAGGATGAGGACTCGTATAACTCCTTCATATACATGATTATCTCCCCTTAGCTGATCCCACGGTGTGTGCTTGATTCTATTAGCTGATACCAAGCGCCTGGCTCAGGAAGGCGGACAGGCCCCAGTCTTTTCCCTGAACACAGACACTGTGTAGTCTTGTGGCCTTATAGTAAGGGTTGGTCCATACAGTACATATACAATATTCTCACATGTTAGGCATGACGTTAATCTGTCCATCAGGTCTAACAATACTCTTTCCTTATTCCAACAGTGTGTGAGACAAGCATATGCATTTAGCCTATGACTTGGAACTTTTGCACAGACAACTTCACTATTGTAGTTGAAGATCTGGCTGGCTTCATTGGGAAAATAATAAGTATAAACTACATTACAATTCCTGTCTGTTTAAAACGTCAGATCAAAATCTTTTGAGAAAAAAACACTCCTCAATTGCACGGCATTCTATAGTAAATGTGATCAGCAACCATACTATCATTATTAGACAGGCACACAGGACCACACAGCGCCACACATGTTCTCGCTCTATCCCCTGGCCTGAGTGATCACTCTGGAAACACACATTCACAGATAGTTCATAGTTCCCACATCAAAGCATCAACAAGCCTTTCATCAACATATTTGTCTCCTAGCCTTCACTGATTATGCAGATCGCTTGCACTGGTACATCCTTTCGATTCAGCATTTTCTTGACATTTCCTTGCTATGAGACACGCTATTGAGCTGATTCAACATGCGATCAACAACGCCCTGGACTTGTCAGTGTTTTCTAGACACATTTCCTTTGCCTCCAAGGTGAGAGACGCTTCAGCTAGTATTCCCTCACATTCGAGATCTACAGTGCAATAATTGTTTGTCTGTGTCAACATCACCTCAATGTCCTCGGCTTGGGGGCTTCCTGTCTTCAGCACAGCCATCTTGGCCAAAAAAGAGACAACAACTGCGATTGGTTGTCTTGGTCACATGATCAAGTCAATGTGGATTGCTTAACAAGTCTCTCAGTCTACACTTCACGTACATGTAAACATTTACCAAAAATAATGGCTGGTGTCATTTTCTTCTCAACTACACATATTAACACAAACATGTTCCCTCCTCTATGAAGAATGACTGATTGTACACAGTTGGTCCCACATTCACATGGGAGATTTCGTCTTTGACAACCCGACATCGTCATCTTCACCTCCAGCATGACAACCAATTGTCAGGGAATCCCCTCTGTCTGTTCCTTTAAAGAGTTCCAACCTACATTGTGTCAGGAGACTATTGGTTCCCTTGTTGCCATGACAACGGCTGGATATATCCGACATCATCCATCAGTTGCCCATGGAAGCAGAACAACTGATATATTTTTGGAACAATCAGCATGATATATTGTTCAATACCTACATAATATATATATCTACACATGATATCATTATGCCTTGGTGTAAAAATACTGCAAGAATGTTACAATTCAAGTCGTCACTCTCCACAACAGTCCCAATATTACTGGCGCCAGTAGAAGTTTAACAACACAATCATTTTCAATAGTAACACTGCTAGCCGGTGATTCCTCATTGGTTAATTTTGTCACAAGACGTAGTGTTACTGGTCACATGATAGGATCGATGGTCATGATTGGTAGGTCCATATCCTACAGTACATAAATGGAATGATAACAGAATGGTAATCCCACATGGTATTGTATCAACATGAGACGACTCATTTGACAAAGGAGGGGTGTCCAGGTAGTTGAAGAATACCTACCTGCCACCCTTCCAAACAAAACCAGATGCCAATGGAGCCTTCCACAAACCCATACACGGCCACATCCGACAGAAGAATGTCGCTGCACATGCAACACGACCTATCTTGACAAATCTCATCTAGAATTCTGGCAAGTTTTTTGCTCTTAGACCTCGGTATCTCTCTGCATGTTTAAAGCGTCCATCTGTTCCAGAATGAAAGAGATGGTATTTTGCCGAATAACACCAATATGGGCTTTCAGTGTGAGAATTTGCTCGTTTGCAGTTTCTAGACGTGCCCTCAAACGTAGGTTTTCTTCCATCAGCTGTTCCCGCGCCTGCAACAGAGAGACAATGTGTTACTACACCTCAACCACAACACCATCGACATGCACAGCACAACACCATCACATACTGCTACACATGTAGGCTTATTGGGGATGAGCTGCCTTCCTTATCAAGATAAATATTTCCACTGAAATAATACAATTTACTTCTACAGCTGATGAAGTAATGTCAACCAAACGCTGCCACAATGCAGTGACAAAAATTATTTTTATCTTCATAATCTTTATATACTTTTTTAAAGGTAAAATTTGTATAATTCTGAATTCACACTTGTATTTTTCATCTGTGCAACCGGGGTAGGAGAAGCATAATACTTATCAGATCAAATTAGAATGAAAAGGAAACTTGAAAAAAAGTGTAAATAGTATAACAGCATCTTAACTGACAGTGCTAAATATATTGATCTGGTTATGTGTGAAAAAAAAAAAGTCGAAAGAGGATTCCAAAGTAGCAACTTGACAAATTGGCAGACTGAATGAGGACAACAGGAAAGGAAAGGGACGAGCAGTCTTGTGATGAGGCCTAGTCTGCTGGGTAACTGAATCAAGTGGCCAGTAGTGGGCCTGAAGCAAGCCATGCATAGGGAGCAGCCATGGTGCGGCAGGTCCGGCGAATGCCTGACAACATCATCAGCCAGGACAACATCGCCTACAAAGTCCACAGGGCATGCCACACAGCTTGTCATCACAGACTTCCATCAGACAAACAGCTAGTGTGTACCCAATTCCAAACAGCATGTTACATGATTTATCGAAAAAATTCAAATCTACATTTTTCATTCATATGATGGAGATCTTTAAGTTTTATGGAAAATAGACTCTTTCATAGTCTAAAGAAATAATCCAGATACATGTAGTTAAAAAGGTTTGAGGATATGTAACACCACAGGAACGACAATGTTCTATTAGAAGTCAACGAAATTCTGGAATGGCCAAATTTGGTACGTTTGAAATTTGACAAATGGTGTTGAAGGAACACTGCTGTTTGTTATTGGCAGCTGGTAAGCATACAAAGTAGTCTGTACAGTAAGTTGCATCACATGAGACTGTTTTCTGATCCTTCATGCACATCTTATCTGTGGTCGGTGATGCATGTCCGTACACTGGCGCAATCACGCACATAGATGAGGGTTCTCGGACCGAGCCTCTACATAGATCTCACCAGGTGAACAACACTACTCTCCCTCTACGGCTCAATGGAAACAATATCACATACCAAAATATCAAGGTGTTTCTATCACCATGGTAACTATATAATCACCATACACATCGAAAATATACATATTCATATTTCAAAAAATTCAAATTACTGTTAAAATTAACTTCAGGAATTACATGCAATCTCATATATTTTTTTCAAATATTGATTAAATTTTTACTTGCACCAGCATGCAAAAAAAGTGTAAAAATCTACAAAAATAAGCAAATATTAGTACTTCAATCTAATATGGATAGAAATCCCACATAAAGGAAAAAAGTTGAGCCCATCTACCTGCGTGCATTCTAATCTACAGTGGAGGTAGGTATGGTAGTCAGGTACATAGGTTCTCGTTAGAACAGGAGGCCATCACATATTACACATAAACAGTTCCTCTTGCTGAAATACAAATACTCATATAGCGACATCCCTCAGTCAACACACTCTCCACGTAAAATGCACATTCTGTATGCTTGTGGATTCAATATAGAAATGCTTCATCCAATCTAAGTCCTTTTTACATAAAAAATTTACTGTTATAAAGGTCTTTATCGACTTGCAAAATCAGAAAAGTAAGGCATGAAACTTTGTGAGACCCATAAGGTTCCAAATGGACTTATATTAGTGTTAGATATGGCAATAAACATATGAACAGTTATTCTTTGTTTTGTTATATACTACAGACAGAAAACAAGGGAATGTTCAACTATAATCCTGTATTTCACACCCGTTGGTCTATCCTCAAGGATACTTGTGGTAGCACAGAATAAGTCACCCACCGGTCTTCATGGGGACATGCTGGTTTATGTTCCCCGAGCCCTGAAGGCAGACTCACACGGGTCAGTCCGTCAAATCGATATGCCGTATTCGACCGAGTCGTATGGTCTGAGTGATTAATCAAAATCGACAAAAGGGACAAATCGGCCACTTAAACCTCCATCGATTGTGTTGCGAGTGCGTAGAGTCTGTTAAAGCTAATCAGCAAGTTGGATGTGGCGATTCCAATCAAATTGCGTTTTTATGTCACGTGATATTTGTTTACACACAAGCGGGAACCATGGCTTCATCTGCTGTGAAGAAACCACGCCTTGACTTTTCATGAGAGGAAACCGAACGTTTTGTGGCTCACGTTCTGAGTCACGAAAGTCTTCGGAATGTCTCAAGCAAGGATTATTCCAAAAGAGGAATGCTGCATTGCCGTCTTCTTCACACAATATCGTGCAGCAGATGACTGCTACCACATCTGCTTCAGACATTTTGATACCATGAAAACAAATTATTGTGAGATATCATGAGATCGACACTCAATCGGCAGATCGAATCCTGTGAGTGGTAGCAAATCGATTAGTCGATATTCGTTACAATCACCGAACATGTTGTACAATGTATGGAAATCGGCATTTCGTTACGACGTGTCGACCCGTGTGAGTCGCGCTTAAGGGGACATAAACCATATAGGGAATATCCCAACAGCCAATTGTAATGCCGGATGTCTTATGCAGGCATGCTTTGGTCCGAATCGGTGAGAATACCACAGTTAGGCATTGATCCACTTTGTTCATTATTCACATTCATCAAAAAATAATAGACAATAGAAAACAAACAATTATTGCCCCTAGATCTATTTCATTCAGAAAATATCCAGAGAATGGTGTCTTACATCACCAATTCGAGATACAAAATTACAGTTGGTATGGTGCATATGTAATACCAATAAGTCGGTTATTCAAGTGGGGGATAAGAAATGTATCTTACATGTTAGCGGGGTACATTGAAATTAATAGAATGGGTCTCATTCAATCAGAATCCGACATTCATGTGTGAGGTAAGATCAAATGGAAAGTCCACTCTATCATAGCAGCTCGACATCTTGGGGAACTCCCTTTGGTAAAATGACAAATTGTTGCTATCAGAATGAACAGATGTAAGTGACTGAGTTGGGTTTAACGCCGCTTTTAACAGTATTCCAGTTATATCGCGGCATGTCAGCTTACTGTGGTAGGAAAGCCCAAGGAAAGCAACTCTGCACAGTAAATCGCGGCGCCTTTAACGACTGGGCCACCCGTGCCCCGTAGATGTAAGTGAAGAGATGACGTCTCATTTTAATATTTCTTCTGATTTTCAAAACGTCTAAAACAGTGTGTCCGTCACTGCGTCTATTTCTCTATTTCTCATATTCATGAAGCTGCTGTGTTTGTTTTATTTTGCAGCTTGTATGAAGCTCAAAGTCTGTGACACGATGACAAATGCCAATACAGGCTGTACTTAGATATGTATGTGCTAGAAAAAACCAATGGATGAACAAATACAGAGAAACCGTAAGTAACAGGCTGAAAACATTCCCTTCTTTTCCGTCAGAACTACGATTCTGTTATATGTTATCTGAATCCTATAAAATATATGTTAGTTCTAAAGCATCAAATCATTTACTCTGAGATGAGACATGGAACACAAGATATCTATAAGTGTAGAGTTACTATGGTGAAGAAGTGTGGAGAGGCTTGTAGCTTGTAAGTAATAACAAAGATATTAGATAGGTAGGTATGAGAGTTGAAGATGAAACTAATGCGGGGGGACAGGAAATAAAATTAGTAAATCATTCTCTTGTAAGGTGGAGGAAGAAGAAAGTCAACTGAGGAGGGATGATGATGACAGGATGTCACCATGGCAACAAATGACACCCCAAATACTCAAAGAAGTTTACAGGTAGAACAGATTCCAAATGCAGATCCCATATTCCTGAGGGTTATCATGGTGTGCAAATATATTGTCCACACACTTGCCAAATTAATGGTTAAGTATCTTAAAAGCCAAATACAATATTGCTTGCCTACAGAATGTTCAATTACGCAGAGGATCTGTCTGTCACAACTAATCCGTAGCCTTAAATCAAGTACCGCTTCTTTGAGAAAAGTTGAAACCATGTGTACGGAAACAAAAAAAAAGGGGAGTTGTATGAGTACTGAAGTGCAATCTCCAGGTTGTAGTGTGGCCACGTACCTATGAATAACGAACTTCTGCAACCCTGCCAACTACCTACTACTAATCCATACAATCGCCTGCTGCTCATCCATACAATCATCTGCCTCTGATCCATCCAATCACCTTCCACTCTTCCATTCAATAACCTGCCTCTGCTTGATCTATCCAATCAACTGCCTCTAATCCATCCAATCACCTGCCTCTGATCCATCCAATCACCTGCCTCTAATCCATCAAATCACCTGCCTCTGATCCATCCAATCACCTTCCACTCTTCCATTCAATCACCTGCCTCTAATCCATCCAATCAACTGCCTCTAATCCATCCAAACAACTGTACCTTGTTCATTCAATAATCTCCTCCCCAAGAGATCTACATTCATCTACATCTAACCATCCCCCATCTCCTCCCTAAGAGATCTACATTCATCTACATCTAACCATCCCTCTATCTCCTCCCCAAGAGATCTACATTCATCTACATCTAACCATCCCCCCCCCAAGAGATCTACATTCATCTACATCTAACCATCCCTCTATCTCCTCCCCAAGAGAGATCTACATTCATCTACATCTAACCATCCCCCCTCTCCTCCCCAAGGGATATACATTCATCTACATCTAACCATCCCTCTATCTCCTCCCCAAGAGAGATCTACATTCATCTACATCTAACCATCCCTCTATCTCCTCCCCAAGAGAGATCTACATTCATCTACATCTAACCATCCCTCTATCTCCTCTCCAAGGGATATACATTCATCTACATCTAACCATCCCTCTATCCCCTCCCCAAGAGAGATCTACATTCATCTACATCTAACCATCCCTCTATCTCCTCCCCAAGAGAGATCTACATTCATCTACATCTAACCATCCCCCCATCTCCTCCCCAAGAGAGATCTACATCTAACCATCCCCTCCCCAAGGGATATACATTCATCTACATCTAACCATCCCTCTATCTCCTCCCCAAGAGAGATCTACATTCATCTACATCTAACCATCCCTCTATCTCCTCCCCAAGGGATATACATTCATCTACATCTAACATCCCTCTATCTCCCCCCAAAGAGAGATCTACATTCATCTACATCTAACCATCCCCCCATCTCCTCCCCAAGAGAGATCTACATCTAACCATCCCCTCCCCAAGGGATATACATTCATCTACATCTAACCATCCCTCTATCTCCTCCCCAAGAGAGATCTACGTTCATCTACATCTAACCATCCCCCCATCTCCTCCCCAAGGGATCTACATTCATCTACATCTAACCATCCCTCTATCTCCTCTCCAAGGGATATACATTCATCTACATCTAACCATCCCTCTATCCCCTCCCCAAGAGAGATCTACATTCATCTACATCTAACCACCCCCCCCATCTCCTCCCCAAGAGAGATCTACATTCATCTACATCTAACCATCCCTCTATCTCCTCCCCAAGAGAGATCTACATTCATCTACATCTAACCATCCCCCCATCTCCTCCCCAAGGGATATACATTCATCTACATCTAACCATCCCTCTATCTCCTCCCCAAGAGAGATCTACGTTCATCTACATCTAACCATCCCCCCATCTCCTCCCCAAGGGATATACATTCATCTACATCTAACCATCCCTCTATCTCCTCCCAAAGAGAGATCTACGTTCATCTACATCTAACCATCCCCCCTCTCCTCCCCAAGGGATATACATTCATCTACATCTAACCATCCCTCTATCTCCTCCCCAAGAGAGATCTACGTTCATCTACATCTAACCATCCCTCTATATTCTCCCCAAAGAGAGATATACATTCATCTACATCTAACCATCCCTCTATCTCCTCCCCAAGAGAGATCTACGTTCATCTACATCTAACCATCCCTCTATATTCTCCCCAAAGAGAGATCTACATTCATCTACATCTAACCATCCCCCCATCTCCTCCCCAAGGGATATACATTCATCTACATCTAACCATCCCTCTATCTCCTCCCCAAGAGAGATCTACGTTCATCTACATCTAACCATCCCTCTATATTCTCCCCAAAGAGAGATCTACGTTCATCTACATCTAACCATCCCCTCCCCAAGAGAGATCTACATTCACTTACATCTAACCATCCCCCCATCTCCTCCACAAGAGATCTACATTCATCTACAGTCAAACATCCCCAATCTCCTCCCTCATCAATGTTCATCTACACTTCAGCATCCAGCCATCTGCAAGAGATCTACGATCATCTTCTGGAACTACTCTCCTCGTCCCAGTGGAGATCTACATTCATCTACAAGAGATCGACATTCATCTACAAGAGATCTACATTCATCTACTGGGTCTGCTCTCCTCGTCCCAGTGGAGATCTATGTAGAAGCAAAAGCATACAAGTGTTCACATCTATGTACGGGCGTGGAAACCGGTGGCAGCGGTGAAACAACTACACAACTCAGAAAGGTGGCAAATCTACGATCAAGAAACAGCTCAGTCGGAGGCTACCCAACAAAGGGAGGTAACTCTGAGCTAGCAACTTACTGCACCTCCTCTTCGGAATCTGAACCGCTCTACAAAAAGAAGACAGAAAACATCAACAGTCACACAACAGACATGTTGCTGGAGTCGCTTCTTGTTTCCAGCACTGGCATTAAAATAATAGCATCGAGGGATTTGTCAGCCGTATTCAAGTCAAACTGATACTGATTTCCCAAAAACTTAGATCACCTGTCACACATACAAAAATTTATTCTACTTCATTAATATGAAAAAATACTTTTTAATAAAGTTGAAGAGTGATCCTCAAAGGTCAAATTTCGTCTGAAAATCATTTCAACTGTCTCTCATTTCAAAATTCACCCAACTGGTGACAATGTTTCCTGATGCCTCCCAGCTTCAGTGGATGGGGTGTGTCTGTTCCTTAATGGTGGAAATGGGCGGTCAGGTAGCGTTCGCTCATCACGCCGAACACCTGGGTTCGATTCCCGACAAGGGTACAATGTGTAAAGCCCATTTCTGGTGTCCCCCGCTGTGATATTGCTGGAATATTGCTAAAAGCGGCGTAAAACCATACTCACTCACTCATTAATGGTGGAAATGCACTGACCCACCTCCTTGTGTGGAGTGACAGAACACTGCGATGTCAGAGACTGTTGATGAGTGAGTGAGTGAATAGAGGGCAATTATACAACAAATGGAAATTTAGAAGATAATCCACAATTTTGTTTTTTGTAATGTGTGAGCCAGTATTGTTTTATGTTCCTATTCCAGGTATATCACGGCAGTGGACGCCACAAATGGGCTTCAAACATTGTACCATGTGGGGAACTGAAACTAGGCATTCTGTGTGATGAGCAAATGCTTCAACCACTCAGCTACTCCACAGCCCTGGTTCTTTGCAAAGAAGTAACATTATATTATGGTGGCCTGTTAGAGTCCCATGCAAGCTGATCCACAGCTGAAGTAGCTTTCTGTTTGTCTGTTTGATGTCTAACGCCACACACAGCAATAGCCCAATAACAGTCTGTAAATAATCAAGTCTGGACCTGACAATCCAGTGGCAGACATCAGGAGCAATGTCATAGGCCATCAGGGTTCTATGACACGCACCCCAGACACCTTTCGAAGCTCAATTCATGGACTCCCCAAGAAGAAGCAGTACATGATCAAACTGGCAGGCTGTATGTCCAGTTGGTCTTCCTAAGAGGTGACCCATTCAAGTACTATCCCATCTCACAAGCCATTAATCCAATCCAAAATGTAAGCAAAGCTTTGGGGACCTTTTCTAACAATCCCATATGAGGTGACCCTGAGAGAGTGAGGGAGTAAGGTCATAAAACGTCCATCTATATCATGGCAAGAACACCCAGGAAAAGGGCCTCACACATTGTACCCATGTGGGGGAAAAAACCCTGGGCTTGTGTATGAGAAACAAAGGCTTTCACTAGTCCTGGTGCAGGTGTGTTTCCCACCAGTCCCGATGTAGATGTGTTTACCACTAATCCCGACGTAAATGTTCCCATCTTTTTAATTTCTTATTCCATAAACCGAAAGAGAATTAACAAATTGTTTTGTAACTAAAATGGAAATGAATAATCTTATATGTTAACATAAATATTAGTTTTGGGTAAATATTGTCTGTTCACATGACAGCTGGCTGTACGATGACAGGACACTATGTGATCACTACCGAGACATGATGTACACTACACTCAACTACTGGTAGGGAGGGGATGTTTACCTCAGTGTGTGTTACACCATGTGGGGAAGCCGCACCTCCACTCAACCTGAGTACAACTTGTACCAGACATGTAACACATGTTTATACATGGCATAATGAAGAAGGCATTGTACACAAGCAGTATATTGGAACTATTAGGTGATTCAGTTTCTTGTCAGTTTACGGATCCAACATGAAAAATAGCAAAATGAAAATAAAATTGTGGTGACATTTTTTTATATTTTGTTAATACCGCCAATTCTAACGAAAAAAAAGAGAAATGAACAAGTTAGTTTGGGTTGAATAGGGATTTCATTTCAAAATTCGAAATACATAGCTAAGTGATTACCGCAAAGAAGCCCAAAAAGAGTTACAGCCCTTTGATAGGAGTAGTCATTTAGGCGGGAAAATGGCGAAGTCCATGTGCCTGTGAGTGCAGTTCAGATTTTCAATTTTTTTCCAACTGCGGTTATGAGAACAAAATAAAATTCCATAAACCAACTAACAAACATAATCACCTTATAGAACAGTGAACGCACATAGAGCTAGTGGAGCACACGTCAGACAAGCAAACATGGACAGGGGCTTACCTCTTCCGCTTTGATCAATCTCTCATAGATCAGTGGCTTCCCCTCATAGAACTCTCCGTCCTGGCTCTCACTGTGAGACCTCTGACGACCTTCACGCAGTACTCGGATTTCAGGTTGTGGGGAGGGGTTAGCGCTTAGGTTTTGAGCTCTGCGGTGACGCTGGGAGATTTTCCATTTTGCCGTTAAGGTCAAGTCATGTGGCCCGACACCTGGAGGTCCGACATAAACATGAAGTATGAACGTGATGGTGTACACCTATATCAACAATAAAGTGAGTATGTATATCTGGGGTGACGTTGTGAGCAAGGGCGTGGCTAAGGCAAATTAAATTGTAAGCAAAAATGTTACAGTACATTATTCATAAACACTTATAACGCTTAACAAACACAGGCTAAACACAAGCAGGTCTGTACAAAGAAATCACAAAGATACCTCTACCACATCCTGGACTTAACAGTTTGACCCTTGTGACCAACCCCAGATGGCCTCGGAAACTATGGCAACAAGCACATCAACATCCATACACTCATCAATGACAAGTTTCACACAGGTAATTATGACAAACGACTGAAAGAAAAACACACTATGGTACTTTTTAAAAACTTTATGTTATATTTTTTAAACGATTTCAAGCACTCATTTTTTTGTGCTACGTTGTTTGTTTGTTGTTTAACGCCGCACGCAGCAATATTCCAGTTATTAACATCATGAGCATCAATCCACACTATTGGGATACGATGACATGCATCAACCGAGTCTGCAAACCTGACCACTCAATAATGTTAGTCGTCTCTTACGACAAGCACTGTCGCCTTTTACAGCAAGCATGGGTTCCCGAGGACCTATTCTAACCCGGATATTCACGGGTTTTTGCTATGTCGTAGCTACACCACTGGTGAGTGAGGGTTGAGGGTATACTTGTGGGTGGCCACTGGTGAGTGAGGGTTGAGGGTATACTTGTGGGTAGCCACTGGTGAGTGAGGGTTGAGGGTATACTTGTGGGTGGCCACTGGTGAGTGAGGGTTGAGGGTATACTTGTGGGTGGCCACTGGTGAGTGAGGGTTGAGGGTATACTTGTGGGTGGCCACTGGTGAGTGAGGGTTGAGGGTATACTTGTGGGTAGCCACTGGTGAGTGAGGGTTGAGGGTATACTTGTGGGTGGCCACTGGTGAGTGAGGGTTGAGGGTATACTTGTGGGTGGCCACTGGTGAGTGAGGGTTGAGGGTGTACTTGTGGGTGGCCACTGGTGAGTGAGGGTATACTGATAGGTTGCCTACCGTTCGACATGGACTCTGTCCTCCTATGTCCCTTGCTCCGACACTCCATCACCACCAAGTCCTTGCAGTGTTTGTGGGCATTGATTGCACAGTCTGGTAACACAGGCCAGACATGAGTGAATGTCATATCACAGTTTCAGGATATCAAAATCCAACAATACATGAACATTTTTATTTATTGAAGACAGTTAAACACAAACAAAACATTCCATGTTAAAACAGCATTCAGACTGGAGCAAACATTACTTTCAAAGTCTATGAAACCAAAGTATGAGTGGCCTATTGGTACAAAAGATAGATATAGGCATGAAAGTACTTGCAAGAGTCAATCGAGTATCTCAAATAATTTGTTTATGGTCTGCATGCAAAACATTTTTCCTGTTAATGTATGTACATACAACCTACCTTTACATTTCCAGCCCTGCTTGATTAACCCCCACAGCTGCAAGAAGACAGTTACCATGGTTACAATCAGAAATACTCTCGGGCGTGACAGGCAAAAATCTCAAATATTATGTAGACACTGTTTATTCCGTAATATAAAATACATGGATCCATATTCCAGGGTGTAAGAAAAGGAAACTCAATAAATAGGTCCATAATCTGATGTGCAGCATAGATGCAAACGCAGTGAGAAGTGTCAACTGTCTCAACACTAGCGGACAAAGGTTGCAACTGCCCATAGTCCCTAACATAGACAAGACAGTGTCCATATTCCTCCACATACAAGTGTCCATATTCCTCCACATACAAGTGTCCATATTCCTCAACATACAAGTGTCCATATTCCTCGACATACAAGTGTCCATATTCCTCCACATACAAGTGTCCATATTCCTCCACATACAAGTGTCCATATTCCTCCACATACAAGTGTCCATATTACTCCACATACAAGTGTCCATATTACTCCACATACAAGTGTCCATATTACTCCACATACAAGTGTCCATATTCCTCCACATACAAGTGTCCATATTCCTCAACATACAAGTGTCCATATTCCTCAACATACAAGTGTCCATATTCCTCAACATACAAGTGTCCATATTCCTCGACATACAAGTGTCCATATTACTCCACATACAAGTGTCCATATTCCAAACATATACAAGTGTCCATATTCCCGACATACACAAGTGTCCACATTCCGGACATATACAAGTGTCCATAATCCAGGCATATACAAGTGTCCATACTCCCGATATACACAAGTGTCCATATTCCCGACATACAAGTGTCCATATTCCCAACATATACAAGCGTCCACATTATCGACATATACAAGTGTCCATATTCCTGACATACAAGTGTCCATATTCCCGACATACACAAGTGTCCATATTCCCAACATACAAGTGTCCACATTCCCAACATACAAGTGTCCACATTATCGATATATACAAGTGTCCATATTCCGACATACACAAGTGTCCATATTCCCGACATACAAGTGTCCATATTCCCAACATATACAAGTGTCCACATTATCGACATATACAAGTGTCCATATTCCCGACATACAAGTGTCAATATTCTCGACATACACAAGTGTCCATATTCCCGACAAACAAGTGTCCATATTCCCGACATACAAGTGTCCATATTCCCGACATACACAAGTGTCCATATTCCCGACATACAAGTGTCCACATTCCCAACATACAAGTGTCCATACTCCCGACATACAAGTGTCCACATTCCCAACATACAAGTGTCCATACTCCCGACATACAAGTGTCCATATTCCCGACATACAAGTGTCCATACTCCCGACATGTAAGTACAGACAGTTGACTCACCAGCCCAGTACAGTGGATACAGAAGGTAGGTTTGAAGTATGTGGTTTCGTGGAAGGCGTGTTTGAAACTACTGCGCACAGCATGGCAATTGGCTCGGATGAAGTATGTTTTCATTTCCTCCTTGCTTATCATTCCATCTCTACAACACAGAACACTCAACGTCTCAACGTGAACACAAAAGGCCATATCCAATGTCAACCAATCAGCTCTATGGCACATTCATCAACAGACATGGAATTGATTCACTTTTCAACTCGTCATTTGAATAACTTGACAGTATTCACTGCATGTCATTTACTCACATAAAAAGCTAGTTGACAGACATGACATGATCCTTAGAGTCCTAAACGTTTCCTTCATCACTGATGCCTCATTTTGAGCAGCATTCTTCTGTCATTATGTTAGGCATAAAAAATAAAATAATTGGTTCTCAGACCATGGCTTTTGAAAATATAGGGCATGTGGGCGGTGTTTTTTTGTTTTTGTTTTTTTGGTTGTTCAAACTAGTATGTAACCAAATAAACAGATGTGTAACCAAATAAACAGTAGTGGGAAAGGGCCTCCCTTCACAAATGTATTGATGAGTAAGATACTGGAATACAACATTTGACTACCGTTGGATTGGGAATACTTAAGGATTTTGGCTTTTTCTAAAAAATGGAAATAAGAATGAAACGTGTGGCGAAAATTAAGATGATGCAGGCGGTGCCTGAGAACCAAGGATATTATTTTTTTTAGCCTTATGCTCCTATTGTTATACTCTCCTCACAGTTCATTCTGTTGTGTGATGTACAACAACCCCCTGTGACTTACTGATCGGCGTCCAGCACACAGAAGGAATCAATGAAAGGGAAGTTGCCAGCGATGGCCTCAAATTCAGCGTGAGAAATAAACCCATCTCGGTCATGGTCATAGTTTTTGTACACAGCCTGAAATGAAATGAGAGTCCTTAAATGATTAGTACCTTCAACCTTGTGGACGTGACTTCATAGACGAGTGCTCTTTACAGATGGCTAAACTGCTTCAATGATAGGTACAGTATACTGCTTCAATGATAGGTACAGTATACTGCTTCAATGATAGGTACAGTATACTGCTTCAAAGATGGATACCTTGCTTCAATGATGGGTACAGTATACTGCTTCAATGATAGGTACATTATACTGCCTCAATGATGGGTACCTTGCTTCAATGATGGATACAGTATACTGCTTCAATGATAGGTACAGTATACTGCTTCAATGATGGGATACCTTGCTTCAATGATGGGTACAGTATACTGCTTCATTGATAGATACAGTATACTGCTTCAATGATAGGTACAATATACTGCTTCAATGATGGGATACCTTGCTTCCATGATGGGTACAGTATATTGCTTAGGGATGAGTATTGGAGGTTTAAAGTGAATCACAAGGCCGTATTGCTATACATATCAGGATATATTGTATAATTCTAAATTTTAAATTCTGAAGCAATCTGATACATTAAGGTATGAATCGAAGTTCATAAATGGAACAAAACAAGATGCTGGTACAACATAATGTTTACTCGGTCAATAAATAAGCAGCCATCTTTGGGCAGCAAAGGCATTTGGCAAGTATATAACATTAAATCACCCGATCTATCGAGCATGAAAAAATGATACTGTGTATCGTGGAAAGAATGAACCTCAATTTAACTGATGCAGATTGTAAGTGTCCATTGTTGAGAAAATGTTATCAAATATTCAATGTTGATAATAATGGTTGAAACACTCAATAATTTAAACAGTACCTGTAGGAATTACACAAAAGTTCATCGTGCTAATAACAACATAAGCTTCTGTTATAGTCTGAATACAGACAAATTATAAATAATCTATAATATTCTAATATTTATCAGTTTGATCAAACTTATTATACCAATGATCAATAATGAAATGCAACTGATTGCAAACACGAGAGGGAATGTCAGTAAGACAAATGCGCCACCTACCTCCACCATGTCGTGGACATGTTTGTTGATGGTGGTGGGATCAGGGGGCTTAACTCCGGCAACCCAGTCTGCAAACACTACGGGCTTAGTCGGTGTTGTTGGCTAGAAGAGAAACCATTTCTTGTAAATACTTGAAAAATTAATTACATAAATAATGCTGATTATGACTTTTTTCACACACAATACAAAGTCAACATGTAGCATTTCCCTTTAGTAGTGATAAATATTTAATCCAGATTTTCACCCATTAAATTTAAATTCTTACAAAACATATCCAAAAATATTGTCTCTTATATGAAAAAAAACTTTCCCAGGCATATACAGATATCAATTGTTGCTACCGCCTCCCTGACAACTGAAACAATTACCCTGAAACCTCAACGTGTTGTGTTGCTACAAACTATTTCCCTGACAACTCCATGTGGTGTGTGTTTCTACAAACTATTTCCCTGATAACTCCACGTGTTGTGTGTTGCTACAAACTATTTCCCTGACAACTCCATGTGTTGTGTGTTGCTACAAACTATTTCCCTGACAACTCAACGTGTTACTACAAACTATTTTACTGACATCTTCAATGTTGCATGTTGCTACAAACTACTTCCCTGACAACTCTACGTGTTGCTACAAACTATTTCTCTGACAACTCTAGTGTTGCTACTAACTATTTCCCTGACAACTCCACGTGTTGTGTGTTGCTACTCACCGAGGACACGGATCCCCTGGGTTCCCGGGCCAGAGACAGCTCATATATCTCATCCTCTGTGTAATGGAGGTCCAGGGACAACTGGAGCAGAGAAACACGGACATCAACATTGTACCAGGTATCCTGCCTACAGAATGAGTTTGCTGGGGATGGGCCTGTTATAATGTCAAGAACACTCCTACTCTGTAAACTGAAGCCTGTGGATCAGTGCTGAAGACATGTAGTAGTTAAACAGACCGGACAGGTGCTTACTCAGTGATATGAGGTTTAACATCGTTTGCACGATTATTGCACTTATATAATGACAAGAATGCACGCATGTGCATCACTGCTTGTACAAGTCTGGACTAATGCCGACTTTATAGTGCTAGCCTACCGAGGTACTATGCCGCAGTTTAACATAGGTAGTCCACTCAGACAGAGTAAACTTGTTTCATACCCTTAATGCTGAGTGCCAGGCGGGGAAACAACAAGTACCATCTTTAAACATCTTTTGGTATTAAGCGTATTGATCGAACCACTGACTTTCCGCTCTCCTGGCAGACGCTCTAACTAGCAGACCAGGGAGGTGGTATACCCATGAATAAGTCAGTAGGGATATATGCAGCTTTCAGCAGTGACAGACAGCAAAAATAGGCTCAAACATTGTTGGTTGGTTTGTTTGTTGTTTTACACCGCACTCAGCAATATTCCAGCTATATGACGGCGGTCTGTAAATAATCGAGTCTGGACCAGACAATCCAGTGATTGACATCATAAGCATCGATCAACACAATTGGGACCGATGACATGTATCAACCAAGTCAGCGAGCCTGACCACCCGATCCCGTAAGTCACCTTTAACGACAAACAGAGTCGCCTTTTATGGCAAGCATGGGTTGCTGAAGACCAATTCTACCCCGGATCTTCACGGGTCTCAAACATTGTACCCACTGTACTGTTGCATGTCACATTTCAATGTAAAATCTTACAGCATCTGTCAATGTCAAACGTACCTGTACCAGGCACAGACCCAATTATGTCCTGTGTCAATGTCAAAGAATTTAGGTCTCAACACTAGGATTGCATTATTAAGCCCCCTACCATGAAACTTGAGACAACATTGTGTCACGGAAATCTTGCTACTTACTCTCAAAGTATTCACTAAGTCCATGTTGGCATCAACAGGGTCGCTGTCTTGTCGTTGTAGGCGCGTGAGCTCGGTGAGGATGAGGGAGAGTTGAGCCATCTTGCGGAAGTTGACGAGGTTGCCTTCGACCTTGTCGGGGAGAGCCGTGTGCAGAGAGATGAGATCTTTCAAGTGGACCCCCCTGGAGAGAAACCGTCAGCTTCTTCACCATTTCAGTTACACTATGCACAACAGCTACATAAACATGCAAAGAATAACCAAATCTAACTCCTCGGTAAATGACGGTCATTTAATGACCAAACTCTATTTTAACAAATTTCCTCACAAAAATTGGCGGATTGGGTTGGTGCATGTTCAAAGGATATTCACATTTTTCCAACTTTTAACATCATGTCATCTGCTGCACTTTCTGAGGACAAATTAGAGCCACTTAGGACATTGCAAAAACAACAACATTTGGGTATGCCTCCTACAACATTAACAAGTTGTAGCAACAGGCATGGAAAAGTTATCTCCCTGGCAAGGCTTATGTGAAAAAGTTAAAATTCACTTGCAAATTTGGGCATCTTAAACCATTAGGCCATCTGTGCTCCCTACCACAAACAGCAGGCAGACATAAATATTCAAACCTGTAGCACAACATGAAGCAAGCCACTTTCAGTAGGTCTTCCAACATGATGGTATCATTATCAGTTGCCTAAATAGATTGATTATAGAACTTGAGAAATTAAATTCTACAGCCAGTTCGGCAGATCCTTACTTCACTATTGGTATCTATAAGGGTTTGACAGAGACGTGTCACGCCATAGACTAGGCCATGTGTAGGTGTACGGGAGATGTACTTCTGTGGTGAAGACAGGGAAGTGTGAACTTACAAGATTGGTATCTTAAAGCCTGTTGCTTGGTGATATATTTTCCTGTAATTACTGAAGTTGTTATTTGAAGACAGCAGTTCGGTGTACTCTATTAAAATCTGGAAAGATAAGAGAGAAAACATTGAATGTTATTGAGGGTATTCACATCCAAATTTCACATCATGCTTGACACAGTAAATCACTCAATGTCAAAATATCTACATGATAAGATTAACAATGTCGTCACAATGATGTCACACTAGGCTATGTATGAGGAGGAATCCCACATGTTGTTACAACATGGCTACTCTTGCATCAAGAAATGGAACAACCCAGTCAGATTTTAATTAATAATATAAGAAAACTCAAGTATCTATTTACTGAAATCTATGTCTCGAGTTCCAAGGTATAAATAAATCTAGGAGAGGACAAATTCAAACGAAAAAGAAATATTTTTGCAGACATTTACTGTGGACTAAATGGAGCCATCCAGAAATTATATCACGACAGTTTACCTTGTGTGTTTCTGAGGGCAGACATGCATTAGTTTTGGAGAGTCTCGCCAGTGCGCTGTGAGTGAGGCCTCCAACAATAGCCATCAGTGTGTTGAAGTTCTGTAGTACCCGCAGCCTCTGTGAAGAGATACAGAACTCCAGGGTAGCAAACTAGCAGCTATCTCAGCAAATACACCCTTTAGTATGCAATATAAGTTGTAGCAGGATCACAAGGGGTACATGGAGTCTTCTGCATCCTGCGTGAGGTTTTATACCACGAGGGACGCGTAAAATCCCATGTACCCCTCGTGATCCTGCTGCAATTAATATATCTTACTCACATGTTTTAATATGACACTGTAAAAGAATTCAAACAAGGTCAAAATTGATAGAAAACAGCTGTTCAACTGAGCTGAGGTCACATGACTTCTATTGACTCGGCAAAAGCGTGTGGCTTTTTGCTTTGAAGCAGGTATAAAGGATTTATTCCGCCTTTCAGAAATCCACTTGCAGCCTGACTTGCTCGTACAGGGGTATAAAAGATTTATTCCCCCGCTGAGAAATATATTCTCCTCCAGGGCGGGATACACATTTTTTTTATCAAGATCATGTGGACCAATCAGATCTCATCATTCTGACATGGAGGTTTAATAAAGCAGTTTACTTCAGGAAGATGTGAACTTAATGGATGTCAGTTTCAAAGATGAAAGAGTAGTTGGCAACTTAAAATTCTGAAATCATTTCAGAAAATGAATTCCTCTTGAAGTCCTTCCATCACATGCAATGTCTACCAAGTTAAAGCAGCAGACGACATTTTACTTGAAGCAAACTAGAATGTAAGCATGTTCGGGCTTTCCTTGAATTTTGATTTAATCTGTATGCCTGCGGTAGGAGGAGTGAGTGAGTGAGTATGGTTTTACGCCGCTTTTAGCAATATTCCAGCAATATCACGGCGGGGGACACCAGAAATGGGCTTCACACATTGTACCCATGTCGGGAATCGAACCCGGGTCTTCGGCGTTACGAGCCAACGCTTTAACCACTAGGCTACCCGACCGCCCCGCGGTAGGAGGAAAGGAAATACATATACAGTCAAGTCCCGTTAATCCGACATCGATGGTTGCATATGATTATGTCGGATTAACGAGTATGTCGAATAAACAAAATTAGGTAGAATAAACGTTCGTGATCGAAAATTGGACAACTACACAATAGATAACGATACGAACACGTACGAAAAGGAAAAATGAAATTCATATTGTTGAGTTACATTGTCAGCGGAATCTAGGCATGCATGTGATTAATCCTGTTTTGTTTTTTAAAAGCTGTAACTGTTTATTGTTAAGCAAGTTGAAATATGCAGCTACTGGCCGACTCGTCTCGCATCAAAACACGGGGCTGTGTACTCACAGGCTGATGACCGCGGAGTACGCTGATCACTGTGTCTGATTAACTAGACTGATAAATGAGTGATTTCAGCAATTCGTTGCAAATTAGGTGTGTCAGAGTTGGAGTGCGAGACTGTCGGATTAACGGGTCTAAAAAGCACTGATTTAATCGGTTCCCATCATTTGTGTCGGATAAAGCCGATTGTCAGATTAACGAGTGTCGGATTAACGAGACTTGACTGTACTTTGGGCCAAATCTGGATAACCACAGATTAGGAAATTGAACCAACATTTTGTCAAAACCTGCCAACAAAATATAAGCATAAAAATCAGAAACCAATGAAATAGCTGACCCACCTTGGCCACATTGACAAACTTAATGATGACATCAGCTCTCTGTTGAGGTGTAGTTTTGCTGAGAACCATGCACTGGACCCACTGGGAAAGGCCGTTGAATAACGCTATTGATCGCTCCAACTTTGGGTTCTCCTTCAGAGAGGCTGTCACTGCATAGTTCTTGAAATCTGAAAACTGTGCATGTACAAGGGTTTCGTTAAGGATGGCCATGGAAACAATCAGACATCAGTAGAGAAAGTGGAAGTCTGGAGGACATGGACCTGGGTTGACCCCAACATCACACAATGTGTGATGCAATTTGTACACAAGTGGTACACAATCATACTAAATTCCTCACTGCATTGAACAGAGACTGAGTGTGTGAGCATATAGTACCAAGCTACGATAATTCAGCCTTCATCCATCAGAAATAGGCATTGGATGAGTGAGATTTGCAGTTGAATTCCACAGGCTGCAATATCATGGCAGATTCTAGTCTGGACCAGAAAATCCAGGGACTGACTATATGCTAGTAACCAAGTAAACTGGCCCTACCACCTGATCTATTAAAAGAACCACTAGACATTGTCCACATTACTGTTATAATGTGTAAGCATGTGTAAGCTCGATTCAGATTGGACCATTTCGGACTTTCAGCCAATGAAAAGTGCCGATACATAAGGCAATGACTAACAGGAAATTTACATTCAATAACTGAAACAGTCCACCTCCAGTGCAGTGATGACAGCATTACACCACTGCAACAAGCTAATTTGCATATCACGTGAGCAGACTTTTCACATTTGTAAACAAAAGTACCTATTCTAAAATCAGAGTAGACCGGCCTGTGGACCTATTCTGCCCTGAACACCCACACTGGTCCCATAGTCCCATAGGGCAGGGAGCCCTTGATATTGTAATCATCAATCTTTCCCAGAGAACACACGCAAGTCGCTGTTACAATCAACACACGTCTTTATTCCATTACAGTAGAAATCAAACTGTCCTAATGGTCTTACTGCCCTCTCCTTCTTTCTATTCTTACCGTGCACCCACTTACCTAGCAACACATACCCTACGTCTGCCATATAATTTAGAGTTATCTCCCTAACACTGTCCATCCATGTATGGGAACACTAGTTACCTCCCCTTACTCTACAATATCAAGAAAGGCTGCAGGTGTAAAGTCAACAAAGTGAAATGTTTCTGCTTCATGTGCTAAATCCTTGCTTCAATAACTCTTTAATAAACAACTTAAAATTAAGAAATAGGCCAAAAATGTCCAACTCACATGAATTCTCCTAAACGCCTTAAACTCAAGATACGTCAGCTGTTCTGCTAACTCATCTGGCTCTAAATGATTGAAGACAAGTGACACTTTACGCGAATGTTTCCGGGACGGCTGACGAACAGACATATTCCTCATCCAGTCATAAGAAGGTCTGAAACAGACATTGAAAATATCAACACAGAAATTTTCTAAACTGTGGAAGCCCACTTATCAAGAGTTGCCTTTTTCATGGAATCATCTGGATAAACAAACTACGGGATAAATAAATCACTAAGTAAACTGACCAGAGTTAGCTCCCCTACCAACTCAAAAAACATATAGTCAAACACCTTTGCGTCGAAGTTGATGGGACCTACGTGAATAAGTTATACAAGGTTCAACACAACCAAAAATGATGAATAATAAAGGAATATGCTGGGACCAAGCTTTAACTTCAAGACAAACGTAATTTTGACACATTAAAGTTCGACACAAGGGTGTTTAACTACACAACAAAAAGCTAACTTACACACACACACACATTCTCTTTTAAGAATTGTTGCCATGTTACCACATCTGCCTGTCAAAGGCAAACAACCAATCATGGAAGAGGTCTTCTTGTTTTGAAAGCCATCAAATCAGTGTAAAATTCCTAATTGACAATTATGCCAAATAATAATTGGATTCATAGCCAGTTTATCATTCCAAACAGAATCATAATCCACACTGATCAAAGACTGCCCAACCCCTTCGATATTGGCTGCCGTATGACGACCTACTAAACAAACATCGTCATACATTGGTGTTGTCTTGAATGTGATCCACAATAGTGTGCAAGTGCCTTGTTGGTAAGTGTAATTCACTATCCAGTTCCAGAAACTGGATGTCCACATAAGCGGAGCATTTCATAAACTATTTTTTCGTTTTTCATAAAATTTGTCCTTTAGGCAGGTTTCCAGATAAGTAGGGTTCTGTGGTTACAATCACATCATCATAACAATGTCAAACCACACCTACAGTCAAACACACAATTCCATGGAAACGATGCAAAATATTTTTTTTATGAACAGATTTTGGGGGGGGGGGGAAGTAGGATCCAGGATATAAAATTGTCACCCTTAACACCCTAACTTTGTTCAAAACCAACAATATCTAAATCACACACAGTTTAGTGACATAGTTTGACATTCATAGTGAATACACTCCCACAAGCAACATCTGTCCCTTCTGAAAATAAAATGGTTGCAGAATATCAACTGTTTCTTCAAGATAATTTGAAAAACAGATAATTCAAAAACAGAGAAAATGTGACAATAATGATGAAATCAGAAAAATAACTTCATTAAACATCCTTCAGACAAAACCAAAACCAATCAAGAAACAACACAATTCTAATTAACGCTAATGTCACCCAAGTCTGGAAATTGCAGACCATTTTGATTTATGAATGTTATTAACTCACACTTTGGACAAATCAATGAGTTCCTTGAGCTGAACATTGCCTTCTGATTGGAGGAGACATCCAAGCTGTTCAACAGCTTTGACCAATCGTGCGTCTAGATCAAAATGAACAGGGAAGTGCCGTATCCAATATCTGCAAACAACACAAATACATCCACAGTAGTGCTAAAGCTGATACACTCAGGCCTGAATAATGGACACATACTCAAAAGGAGATTATCTCCCTTGCATACCTAAGCGTCATTTTTTTTAATGTCAGTTCATTGCAAGTCTGTTTACTTTTTGTCAAAAAGGTTAAGTCAAACAATTCCTCTTGTATGCTTGGATTAGAAAATAAGCACACTTTCCACACAATATGCTATTTTGATTATTTTGTGTCTGCTACTGAATCCATAAAACAAAAATAATTGGTCTGGGTGAAACAGAAGACACAGACCAAATCTGGACTATCGTTGTGTCACACAGACAATGCAGAGGACACTTCCTTGTCAAAACTATGTCAGATTGTGGTGTGGAAAGCCAAACATTGCTCACTTGTCTTCTGATGTGTTACCTGTTAAACTCTATTTGTCTGATTTTGTTTTTTGTTTGTTTGTTGTTTAATGCCGCACTCAGCAATATTTCAGCTATATGACGGCGGTCTGTAAATAATCAAGTCTGGACCAGATAATCCAGTGATTGATATCATGAGCATCGATCTACACAATTGGGATACGACATGCATCAACCAAGTCAGCCAGTCTGACCATCCGATCCCGTTTGCAGCCTCTTACGACAAGCATAAGTCGCCTTTGACGGCAAGAATGGGTTCCTGAAGACCTACTCTACCCCGAATCTTCACTGGTCCTATTTGTCAGAGATGAAGGCCACTATGTAATAGACATTAAATTTCAACTAGTGCATGGGATTATGTGTCAATCTCAAACAGTTTGAACTCAAGGCACCAGCTGAAATATTGATTGTTTTTCAACAGGTTGTGCCTAGAGTATATCAATGACAAAGACTTCACAAATATCACTAACCACATGAACTGAAATTTAAACTCCAGGCGAAAAATGCTCCACAATAAAAATAATTATGACACTTGTCAAAATACCAGTGCATCCGTGTTTTATTGTAGCGTCTGAAGAATGTGGAACTTTGGTACAAGCATCAAAAGTGAGAAAAGCTAACATGTCCAACAGTCAACAAACCGGTTTGGGCACAAGAAGCCGCAAGTTTCAGGTTTCAGGTGCACTATAAAAGTCATTGACTTACTGGAGAAGATATCGTAGAATACTGACCTTCACCTTGTATTGCTGTGTGGGACACTGAAGAATACTGACCTTCACCTTGCATTGCTCTATGGGACAGTGAAGGATACCGACATTCACCTTGTATTGCTCTGTGGGACACTGAAGAATACCGACCTTCACCTTGTATTGCTCTGTGGGACACTGAAGGATACCGACATTCACCTTGTATTGCTCTATGGGACACTGAAGAATACCGACCTTCACCTTGTATTGCTGTGTGGGACACTGAAGAATACCGACCTTCACCTTGTACTGCTGTGTGGGACAGTGAAGGATACCGACCTTCACCTGGTATCGCTCTATGGGACACTGTAAGCTAATGCTGGATTACGATAGACACAGTGACAAGTTACCTGACAGCCTGACATATTTTGGCCTTGTATTGCTGTATGGGACACTGTTGGACTGTGGGAAGGTGATGACAGGCTGCCACATCACACGAGATCGTTTCATCGCAACCCTGGTAACTGATTAAGTGTTAAGGGTATTTGCAAAAATGAAGTACAACCATAGTCTTCAATGACACATATTTTGATTTCAAATGTTTCAAGAAACAAGTGGGTTTCACCAAAGTGGTGAAAGTCTGAGACCTGCATCACTTTCCTCTCACATTAAGCTGACATGCCATAATATGTTACTGGAATACTGTTCAAAGCAGCATTAAACTCACTCACTCACAATAAATTCACATTTTCAATAGAGTCCAAGTCTAAAGTAGGTACCACTACGACAAGAGTTTAGCTAGACTTAAAAGGCTACATTCAAAATGAAGCACAATGAGTGAGTGAGTGAGTGAGTGAGTATGGTTTTACGCCGCTTTTAGCAATATTCCAGCAATATAATGGCGGGGGACACCAGAAATGGGCTTCACACATTGTACCCATGTCGGGAATCGAACCCGGGTCTTTGGCGTGACGAGCGAACGCTTTAACCACTAGGCTACCCGACCGCCCTGAAGCACAATGACATTTGGAGAAATAACCCTGAGTCTCCAGATTTTGCAAGAACACACCAAACTACACCAATGCTTGGTTATGTTCTCTTGTCAAAGGTCGCGACTAAAACTTCAATTACGGCTACAAAAAACAGTAACATATTTACAACTGCTAAATTCTGATCTAACCACCACACATTAACATCTGTATAACCCAACTAGCAAGGGAATAAAATGGCATTTTAAATATGGCTTCCATGGCAGCCATGCTTAATGACTTAATCAATCTTAATAACTGAGTAGAATTGTGAGTGCAACTTTAATGATGCTAGTTTTGATCATCATTGTGAAGTTCAGCTTCAAAAGCCTTTTGAGTATTAGAGTGAGTGAGGTTTTACACATCTTTCCGAGGCAAGAGAGTTAACTGACTATAAAAGTCCAGTTTCCACCCTTGCCGAAATAGGCTCGTATTATGGAGTTACAGTTTGGCTGGACTAACGAGTCTATGCATAGTCCAATCAAAATCACGCACTGAAATCGAAATCCGGTTCGTAAACTGTCGTGCAGATTTCTGTCGATTGCAGGATTTGCAAAGCATGTGCAATGCCAACTCGTTGTAAACAGTTATTTTCCAAATCTTTCCATGTTTTTAATCAAGGTGCTCACGTGATTTGATGCATTTCGCGGTGTAAGAGACGTTTTATCACAATATAGATCTTGATTATCGATCAGATCGTCCTGACTGGGCGCCACCATTTTGGGTGAAGCAAACGCAAGTGATACAAGAGATGGAATCTTATTGGTCCATAGGAGAGGCTTAGAGGGGACATAAATGGTTATAGCCACTGGTGGCGCTACGATTGAGCCCAGGAATTCTAGCCTAGTTCGGCAAGGGTGGAAACTGGACTTTTAAAGTCAGTTAACTCTCTTGCCTCAGGAGGATGGGTTTTACGCCACTTATACCAATATTCCAACAATATCACGGCGAGGGGGAGGACACCAGAAATGGGCTTCACACATTGTACTTCCTGTGAGTATTAGAGAAAATATTAAGAACATAAAAGTTTACAAAGAGACTACAATCAATTGCAAACACATCCTGATATAAGGTCTCATGCACTTAGTCCAAAATGCTGTTACTTTTTTCCATTTCAGATTTCAACAAAACTCTCTTCTCCATTACCGAATGTAAGTATGTAAGTTCGTTGCTTTTCATAGAGATGTGTCACAGCTGACACAGAGACACTAATTATGTAAACAAAGTTTTTTTCTGTGTCACATGTGTCTGTGCTCAAACCTGGCGCCAGCTGCCAGGTGGGGATTGATTGACAAACAATTATTATTTTCACCATCAAATCCCAAATCCAATCAATACATGGTAAATTAACAACACAAAGAGTTATCCCAAGAAATACAATTGATCAAATATTTCCTGAATTTAATTATACAACAGAATAAGAGATATGGTGTTATCAACCAGGACATAATGCCCACTACACAAAGTGATCTTAGAGCTATGGCAATCACACAAGTCTATGGGTAATTATACGAGGTATGACAGGCAGTGCATAAAGGTCACCTTGTTAAATAGCCACATTATACTCCACAGTTTAACCCACGGTGATGGACAAAATGTTATCAGCATTTGTCCACAAAGAGTGAGTGAGTGAGTGAGTGAGTGAGTGAGTGAGTGAGTGAGTGAGTGAGTGAGTGAGTGAGTGAGTGAGTGAGTGAGTGAGTGAGTGAGTGAGTGAGGTTTTACGCCACTTTTAGCAATATTCCAGCAATATCTCGGCAGGAGACACCAGAAATGTCCAAAGAGATAAAGACCACTGCATGAGCATGTGTGTCATACTGATGTCACTAAACAAAGTTTGAAAGATGTGAAGTAAGACCATTGTTATGTCCCTTGTTACCTCTAACTCATTGTGTATATGAAGATATGCTTTTATTTATACAGGTGAAACATGTACAAAATGAGAAAATATTCAAGGGATGAAAAATTTGAAAACCTTCTATTTTCTAAAAAGGTTAATTTGAAGATTTAAAATCATAGTTTATAATTTAGCATGTCACTCTGTAACACTGAGTGAGTGAGTTTGGTTTGACGCCGCTTTTAACAGTATTCCAGTTATATCGCGGCGTGTCAGTTTAATGTGGGAGGAAAGCCCGAAGTGATGCAAGTCTCAGACGTTTACCACTTAGGTGAAACGCACGAGCACGGGTATGGTGCTGACAAACCTAGAAACATAATCGGGGCGAACCGGGATTCGAACCCACAATCATAGGTTTCTGGCGTGCCCAAGGGACGCAACTCTGCACAGCGAATCGCGGCGCCTTAGACGACTGGGCCATCCGTGCCCCCTCACTCTGTAACATGACATCAAGGATGGCAGACCATGTTTTGAAGCTAACAGTGTTCACATGACATCAACAATGAAAAACAGGCCGCATTAACATGACATCAACAATGATAGACCAGCGCCACTACACATGACTTCAACAATGATAGACCAGTGTCATTTCATATGACATCAACGATGGTAGAACAGCGCCATTTCACATGACGTCAACAATGGTAGACCAGTGCCATTTCACATGACGTCAACAATGACAGACCAGTGCCATTTCACATGACAGCAACGATGATGTTGGTATTCGGCTAACAATCGTGATGGGCACTGCAATCCTTGTTGCACTTTCGCTTTGCATGGACTTGATAAACTCTTGAACCATATGGTCATAAACAATGTTATCGACCTGAGCATCAACATAATACCACACAGGCATATATACAGTGTTATCAACCATGACACGGAGATCAATAAAAGGCTATATTTAGTCATTACCATACGAAACATACATTAACACATTATCTACAGAATTAATATTTGATATTGATATGTAAAGATTGTAACAAAAGTGTGGAGTTAATAATTCATTGTTCTACTTCATTATCAATTCAGGCATATTCACTGCATTATTACATGTCTGATAAAAGTGGTTCTTTTTATAGTTGACACAGAAAACACTCCATGAGCGAATGTGACTGGGTGCACCTGGTTCATATCTGCCTGCTGAGTGAACTGCGCTACTCCACTTAATGCATCTTGCAGTTTTACCTCATTATAATGCACAAACTATATGTAATATTTCTACATCTTACACCTTCACCTCATTTAAACGCATCTTTCTCTTACACCTAATTACTAACAGCCTTTAAAATTCATACTTGTCTCCTAGCCAGAGACTACTAAATTGTGTTTGGGATATGCAAAAATCCAATAGTGCTAGTCTTCATTGACTTGAAGCATTTGAGGGCAATAATTTTCAACCACTTCTCAATGCTTCAATTTCGCTACAAATTGGAACTGGATTGGGATTTATGTAATCTGACAGAAAATGTAAACATAGAAAACCTATTTAAGTATGACAAGCAACAAAATTTGGACCAGTAAAATAAGGTTTACACTAGTTCTCCTGGACCAGTTCTAAAAAGCAAAATAAATTTCTAAGGCTGACAAGATCTCTCGGGTCTTACGAACATTATCAAACTGCCCATTACTTTTGACCTATTTGGCTCATTATTGACCTTGACTCGTGTACATGCACATATAACCTGTCTAGAAACTGAACTGACATTCAATCCATCATATCTGACCAATCCGACCTTGCCCTGGTTTTCAAAAGGGACTGTCCACTTACCAACTTTGATCAAAATCTATCCCTATTGTTTTAAGTAACGATCTAGAATACAAAATGTGGTGGATGATATATGTGCAGATGGAGAGAGGTTGTGATACCTCTACTGTTGGCCAGCCGAGTGAGTAACACACTGCACATTACCACCAATCATATAAATGTTAATAATATTTTATGGTGCACAAGCAGTTTCTCAATCTGACAAGAATTGACTCAAAAAAGATTTAAAAATCATTCCTGTATGTCAAACTGAACAGTCTTACTTTAATCACTGAAGACTAAGGTGATCTGTGAACATACCTTTCATGAGTGAGTGAGTATGTTTTTTTGCCGCTTTTAGCAATATTCCAGTCTTTAATGAGTTCACACTAGTTCTGTGATCAAATAAGTGAGTGAGTGAGTGAGTGAGTGAGTGAGTGAGTGAGTGAGTGAGTGAGTGAGTGAGTATTGTTTTACACCGCTTTTAGCAATATTTCAGCAATATCACGCTGGGGGGCACCAGAAATGGGCTTCACACAATGTACCCAAGATGGCAATCGAACCGGGTCCTCAGCATGATGAGCAAACACTTTAACTACGAGACTACCCGACTGTCCCCTGTGATCAAATGTCCACCATTGGCATGAACAATGTAAAATATTACTGTGATGGTCTACTTATCAAAATAACTGTTCCCGTTCCATCTTTTCCCAAGAGGGGCGGTCGGGTAGCCTAGGTGTTAAAGTGTTTGCTTGTCACGCTGAAGACCCAGGTTCGAATCCTGACATGGGTACAATGTGTGAAACCCATTTCTGGTCTCCCCCGCCATAATGTTGCTGGAATATTGCTAAAAGCGGCCTAAAACCATACTCACTCGCTCACTCATTTCCCAAGTAATTTTCTTGGAAATCTTCTCTGCACGATTTGGCTATTATTATTGGATTAGAGCTTTGATGAAGGATACAGATCTATGAAGGCCTGAGCAAGATCTTCGGACTTCATGAACCATTGGTGCATGAGGTAGAAGACCCGAGCATACTCCTCCTGCCGCTCACACGGGCCCGCCTCACCTGCAACACAAACCACAAGATTGGAGACACCCTATCACACAGCACCCCTTGCCACCACACCCCTATCACACAGCACCCCTTGCCACCACACCCCTATCACACAACACCCCTTGCCACCACAGCCCACCACCATCACACAACACCCCTTGCCACCCTAGCCCACCACCATCACACAACACCCCTTGCCACCCTACCCTTTCAAACACCCCTTGCAACCCCAACTCCTCAAACAACAGCCCTTGCCACCCAACCCCCCTCACACAACCCCCCTCACCACCCCACCTCCTCAAACAACAGCCCTTGCCACCCAACCCCTTCAAACACCCCTTGCCACCCAACCCCTTCAAACATCACCCCTTGCCTCCCCACCCCAATTACACAACAACCCATGCCTCCCCACCTCAATCACACAACACCCCATGCCACCCAACCCCCATCACACAACAACCCATGCCACCCAACCCCCATCACACTACACCCCTTGCCACCCCCCACCCACTTCAGACAACACCCCTTGCCACCCTACCCTTTCAAACACCCCTTGCAACCCCAACTCCTCAAACAACAGCCCTTGCCACCCAACCCCCCTCACACAACCCCCCTCACCACCCCACCTCCTCAAACAACAGCCCTTGCCACCCAACCCCTTCAAACACCCCTTGCCACCCAACCCCTTCAAACATCACCCCTTGCCTCCCCACCCCAATCACACAACAACCCATGCCTCCCCACCTCAATCACACAACACCCCATGCCACCCAACCCCCATCACACAACAACCCATGCCACCCAACCCCCATCACACTACACCCCTTGCCACCCCCCACCCACTTCAGACAACACCCCATGCCACCCAACCCCCATCACACAACACCCCTTGCCACCCCCCACCCACTTCAGACAACACCCCATGCCACCCAACCCCCATCACACAACACCCCTTGCCACCCCCCACCAACTTCAGACAACACCCCATGCCACCCAACCCCCATCACACAACACCCCTTGCCACCCAACCCCCATCACACAACACCCCATGCCTCCCCACCCCAATCACACAACACCCCATGCCACCCAACCCCCATCACACAACACCCCATGCCTCCCCACCCCAATCACACAACACCCCATGCCACCCAACCCCCATCACACAACACCCCTTGCCACCCCCCACCCACTTCAGACAACAACCCAACTCTCCAGGAATCGCACATTCACTCACTATCACCACACACAAAGCCTCAAACAACACACTGGACTGCACCATAGTAAACACATCCTTATTTACATCACTGTCTGTGCTAGGTAACATTGCCACAGCTTGCTACAGATAAGAGCTCCTACTTCCTCTTTCATATTCTGATAGTGACATATTATTATTCTCTAGATATGAAACACGGAAGGCACACAGTCAAGGCTCATTGTCATAATGTAGCTGTGTATAGTTGATCTGGATCTGGAGTTGGCCCTTGTTACAAAGCGATCTTATCGCAAAGGGGGTCTAACTTTAATAACACAGATTAACGAATAATAGTGTTATATTTGAGAAAAATATTAATAGTATTGTGAGATATTTTACTTAATTCAAAGGCCACAATGCAGCAGGAAAAACAGGATTGCTGCTACACTCATAGCCTCTACATGAATATCTAGTCTGTAAAATGCCTAAAGTTGCCATGTGTTAACATTGCAACACAACACATACAGCATTGCAATAAGTTTTAAAAATGAGCATGATGAAGTATTATTATTCATAATTTCATGTGTGTGTTAAAGGAGTTATCAATATCATCAATTGTTAAATAAAATAATTGATAACTGCTGCTGAAATTATCATATTAATAAAATAACAGGAAAGCAACATTTTAGTGAGTGAGTGAGTGAGTTGGGTTGGGTTAAACGCCGCTTTTAACAGTATTCCAGTTATATCGCGGTGTGTCAGCTTAATGTGGGAGGAAAGCCTGAAGTGATGCAGGTCTCAGACGTTTACCACTTTGGTGAAACCCACGAGCACGGGTATGGTGCTGACAAACCTAGAAACATAATCGGGGCGAACCGGGATTCAAACTCACAATCATAGGTGTCTGGCGTGCCTAAGGGACGCAACTCTGCACAGCGAATCGCAGCGCCTTAGATGACTTAGAAGAATGTTCAAATGTTTTTCATATTTAGTGATGATATTGTATGGAAGAATATTGACAATATCCTGAAAGTGTTCTAATGCCATTGTCTACGAAAATCAGTGACTTACAGAAGACTTCAACGCAGAGCTGGATGAGACGTTCCGGCGTTGCGGCGCGGATGTTGACGCCGGGTAGCACCGGTCTGTCCTCCTCCATCAGAGCCACGCCCACCAGGAGATCCACGCCCTGCATTGGCGGCGGCGACTCGGGGGGTCTGCAGCAGCGGTGGCGGCGGCAACTCCGCCACAGGGGTCACTCACTCCAGGGACACACTGCAACAAAACAACAGACATCAATAACACTGTAACAGAACGTCAAACATCTTGCAACACTGACAGTCATGTTGCACAGAATGTCAAACATCTTGCAACACTGACAGTCATGTTACAGTCTCCAAAAATCACTTGGTGTTGATATCACCCCAACCTGAATAGAAAGAATCACACATTAGTGTAGTCTGTGTATCATCAGAGTGAGTGAGTGAGTGAGTGAGTGAGTGAGTGAGGGAGGGAGGGAGGGAGGGAGGGAGGGAGTTGAGTTAAATGTTCCAGTTATATCACGGCGTGTCAGCTTGATGTGGGAGGAAAGCCTGCAGTGATGGAGGTCTCAGACGTTTACCACTTTGGTGAAACTCATGAAAAACAAAATACTGACAAATCTGAAACATAATCTGGGTGGACCAGGATTTGAACCCACAGCCATAAGTTTCTGGCTTGCCCATGGGACGCAACTCTGCACAGCAAATTGCATCACCTTAGACAACTCTCCCATCTGTGTCCCCATCATTTGAGTGAAACTGTGTGATTTGACTGATCTTTTACAGGAAACCTAGCGGTTGAAAAAACCTAATCCACATTTAAGTCATCACTTACAACATGTATGGTATTCTGCCCCTGAAATACCCCAAATGCCAACTTAACTGAGACAATTCAAAACAACTTCAACATAAAGAAAACTAATTAGGTAATAATTAAAAAAAATTAAAATAATTTCTCACAAACTTTCCTGTTTTCGCACAAAACAAAATTTCAAGAAGGAAATGTGAAACCTTAAACCCTAACAAAAGTTGGCGATGTTAATGACCCGTAACACCTTTGCACCTGGTAACATCACTGACACACCTATGCTTGTTGTAAGAGGCTACTATGCTAGTCATAATAGGTTACAAACGGGGTCGTGTGACTTGCTTGATGCATGTCATCGTATCCCAATTGCGTACCACGAATAGCTTGAAAAGTGATGCGGCGCAAAACAATATTAACTCATTCATTCCAAATTGAATAGATCGATGTTCATGATGTCAATCACTGGATTACTTACAGACCACCATCCCATAGCTAAAATATTACTGGGTGTGACGTTAAACAACAAACAAACAAACAAACTTGACTAACAAAGTACCTGTCCTACACATACATGAGGAAAGTTGACAGCTGCCGATGAGGACAGACCACACGGAAGAAAACTGCCTGTTTGATCAATATGATTACAATATCGCAAGTGAGCTTGATTAGGTCAGCACCTCCCTGCCTATACACATGCAGGGAAAGTCTCATGTCTCGTGACTGAGAAGGAAATATAGCAATTATCACCCTTGGCAAAGGTGAGATAACTGGACATAATAACTTGTATCTACAAGCTTCCATTTCCCTCTTGATTGGCCCTATATGATGACATCTGTCAGCACCTGTCTCATAGAAAAAGACAATGTATTGAACACAATGTTGTTCACTAACTCCAGGAATGTATTTAGGATTCTAAACTGTCCTTGGCAGGCAACTTTGGAAAAATTGGGAAAACAATTAAGTTCCAATTTTCTTTAATACAGAGGTATTTTCACATTGAACTTACACATTGCATTTTTAATGAAACAATGTTATAATAAGCATTAATGTTTTGTTATAACTATAACAGTTTAGTTGGGATATGGTTAATTCCAATTTGGGATCTTTTACGGACATCGCTGCAGACGAGGACCCAACTATCAGCCTCCACACAGATCTAGATATGTCCATGTCAGAAACTGGCACCAGTTCTATAGTCCATGCTAAATTGCCAAATAGTTTAACACTTTATGACTTAGTTACCCCACTGCCACTGAAGGCTGGTCAAAAAAAGAAAACATTTGACATCAAATTGAATTGTCTCTAACAGAATTTCTGTATCTTTGTAACAGGAGGTAAATTAAGTTTTGGGCCCAAAGTGGAAACTTTAAAACTACAACTAAAAAGAATGTGTTCGGCCAACCATATGAGAGCATGACATCAGATATTTACTTGATGTTTAAATCCTCAGAAAAAGGAAGATCGTAATTTCGGACTGACATCCAACAGAATTTCACTTTCAGTTGCCATTAAACAACAGACAATGAATAATGAACAATACCCAGCATTCATCCAAATCTGGTTCACTGAGTGCAGGCTAAATATCATTAGATGCTGTGTTTATGGCTTTTCAGCACACAGCTGTGCGTGAAAATGGTTGAATATTTTCATAAATTTCATCGGCCTGCTAAGTAATTTGTGATATGGGTTTTTTATGCATATCACGGTATCAAGGTAAAAAAAAAGTAGTGGGTTTAATATAAAGTCCAGGATATAGCTGGAATATGAGGGATAGAAATTAACCAAGAAAGTATACAAGCCCAAATGGAGATAAAATATAGCATCACCTCCAAAAGGTTTAAAATTCTACTTGCCTTTAGGTACCTTTACCATAATCCCAACTGGTCTGAACGAGCAGGCTAGTGCTAATTTCTATCCCTGAATATTGCTGTTGTGGTGTTAAACAACAAACAAATGTTCCCAGCTAGATTTAGAAGATATTAGCTGTGGTCACAGACTGATTCATGTGTACTTGTAATTTCACATTTAGATGGCTGGAACTGAGTCCCTGAGTGGCACATCCCGGATATAACCAAGTGAATTTCAAGACTAGATTTCAAATTTTCAATAAATCAGAAACGTTTCTGTATCTCCTAATCTGTTCTCCAACTTTCCGTCCGAGAAAAACAGAAGTCGGTATGTTTGAACAACATTCCCAGGTGTGAGGTCCATGTTCAGTAATCACTTACATATATCCCCCTTGTGATTAAAATCAACTGCCACGTCTTGCTTAATTAGTCCATTTAATTATAGAGTTGTGTATACCTAGGAGGAGGCCCATGAAGATCCGGGTTAGAATTGGTCTTTAGCAGCCTGTGCTTGTCGTAAGAAGAGACTAGCAGGATCAGCTTGCTGACTTTGATGCATGTCAGTTGCATATATCAATGCTCATGAGATCAATCACTGGATTGTCTGGTCAAGATTTGATTATTTACAGGCCACCGTCATATAGCTGGAATATTGCTGAGTATAGCATTAACCAAGCAACCAACAAACAAACTAGGACAAACATATCCATCTCTTAAAAATCATGACATAATATATGACTTATCAGTACTCACAGTAGGGTATTGTATACTGAATCATCAATACATCATGTGAACATAGCGTTGACAGCTGTTGCAACCAATATTATCCATTTGAATATCTTGATTGGATTTAGAGGTATTGGGATAGACCCAGTTATCAATGTAACGCAAATGTCTACATCCTGATGGCAATACATTGCTAACAAGTTAAAATATCAATAATTTAAATCCATACCCCACTACACTCTTGATAGATGTCTTAAAATGTAAGATATACTGTCAAAAATTCCATTTTCCAAAAATATACCTACTTGATGAGCCACATGGGTATCCATTCAGAAAATTCTCATACATCAATATCAAACAATAATAGCTCCCCAACAACTTCTCAAACAATCTTTTGTTGAATCGAGGACTTGGAAATATGTCTAATATTCCCAAGAAATCTACAGTTAAGGGCGTTTTAGCGTGGGACGACTGTCGCAGAAAAGAAGAGGAACTTGTCATCAATCAGAATACTATTGTAACAGTTGTACCAGAGATGCAATATTATTGCAAAAGTGAAACGCCTCCATCATGTCCATAGTTTCCAGTAATTGCATTAAGCACAGTACTAAACAGGAGTCATCAGGAGATGACATATCCCTTCGGTCTGGAGCAATTTTGGAGGAAATGGAGTTTGGCTACTTATACCCCACTTTTGGTTCATTGCCATTGGATATCTTCAGTTCAATGAAAAAGAAAAAATGCTGTTCAATATCAATACAATATCCCAAATTATCAAAAGGCACCAGTTCACCACTAGACTGATCTGCACAGCAAGTTTCATCAAGAAATATTCAACGATTTAGGAGTTCCGCTCCAGAAGTGGAAAAAGGACAGAGGACAGGACGGACATGCTGGTCGCTATATCCCCTAGTTATCAAACCAGGGTGATAAAAACAGTATCACAATATGTATCACACCACTATCAAACTACATTTCATCCTAAAAATTGATTTCAGATCCAGATGAATGTCAGATGGATTCCACTCAATAATCTGGAGCATCAGAGCAGCCTAGTAATAACATCACCTTGGCTCGTATCTTGGTTCATTTTCCAATATCAGACCTAAATGTTAATTTTTTTTCCAGGGAGCAAAACAGTATATTAAGGAACCAAGAAACTATGCAGGGAGCCAACTTTACAATCTGTAAATGAAATGAAGTCACACTTCACCAAACAACACAAACGTTTGCGGGAACATACACAATTTTATTGATACATTCATATCAACTTGGTACTATTTCAGATTAAGTAGTGATGAAATGAAATTCTGTATCAAAGCCAAAGTAGCCCACTAGTCCAGACACTTTGAATAAGTCAAATTGTCTGGATCAAACACTGCATCTTCCGAACAACAACAGGAACTAGAGTAACTGCACAACATCATGATAGTAGAGTTATCAACTTCTGCTGGCCCCTGCTTGTAGAGAGGATGTCTAGGGCGTGTCCAAGACCTCATCCACCTCAACACAGGTTGTCACAGACAACCTGACTGGGTCCTCCAGGGTATCTACACCAAGTGAGGATCTGGAATCTGAATTAATCCTCTTCTGTCCAGAAAACACACGTTCACAGCTTACAGCAGTTACTGGTATAACAAGCATGATTTCCTCGAGATGAAGGAGATCCTGAAAAAAAATAAAAAATTCAAGATTAACTCATTTTGAAGTTATTAGTTCAATAAACAATACTTGTCAATTCAACTTTTATGTTTTTTATTTAGGGATTGTCACTCAATGACTAAGAAGTTCACCTTGAAGACTGTCTTGTACGGCTCCCTGGGAAGGAGAACTGCAGAGAGACCTGTGTTGCTCTTATCTTGAAACTCTGTGCTGACCAGCTGTTGGAAGAGCTTCCTCTGGTGGGTGGTGGCACACAGATTACATCAATTTCTGTAAAATATCATCATCATCATCATCATCATCATCATCATCATCATTTTGCTTACAGTATCAGAATGAGATTACTTGTAGTACTGTGTTAAATCTATCACAATCATTTCGTAACTTACCAGGGACTTAAATTAAAATATTAAATAATGCAAAGCTACATATATTATTATTTAATAGCTTAACTGACTTTTTAAAGTTTAAAGATATCAAACATTAACACATGGCCAGACAGACACAGCACATTTTACAATTTTAATCAAACAAACTAAAACAAGAACACCAACCTTGACAGTCGACTCTTGAACCAGTCAGGTAGATACTGGACTTTATCCTCCCAATATGATGAAAGGTCTGATGAGCTGTCAGGCCATGTGTCCTGGTGGGAGATCGTAAAGCAGGACACGGCTTTGGCAGTGCCATCAGTAATTTTACTCCAGTGTGCGCCTCCTTGCAGAACTCTGAACCGATCAGACGGACCCTCAGCTGTCTTTCTGGCTGCACATTTGATGTCTGTACAGACAGACATTCAGTGGCATGGTGTTTAAATCCTTCTCAGGCTCATCTTCAGTCTTCTTTAGAAGGACACCCTGCCATTTCCAGGAATGTGTCCAAATGTCCCTCAGGCTGAACACAAACTTCAAGATTCTGGACAGAGGTACTTGGAAGAATTGTTCTCTCATTCTGCAGGTGAAGGCTGAGCTTTGAATGGTAGTCAACAAATCGAGCAGGAAGTGGCAAAATGTGGCACATTTGAATGTTTGTAAGCGGTTGAGCACAAACTTAGTCCTGCCTGCGACTTCAGCATGTTCACTTGTTTCTGAGAGACGTTCTGCATGATCAGTAAGCACACCATACTGACCACTAACACTGGCATTAGTCTTAGGTCTGAGCAAAATACTCAATGCTTTTGCAAGGTGTGGACTTTTATTTCCATAAAATAAATAGCATAAATGCTTATTGAGGCAATTAATTTTATATAAATAATAGCAGGATATTTAAAGAAATTGAATAATCATCATAATTGAGGCTGATTCAATTTGTCTTCTGATGCCAAAAGTCAGACTTATTATTTACACTTAGTCTTAGATGTAACTAATTACTTTGAAAGTCTGTACAAATTTCTGTTACTTGAGAATTAAACTGAGTACAAATTTTAATTTTTTCATAAATGTTTCAGATTATAATTAATTACTTTCAAACTTTTTTAGTCAGACTTTACCTATGAGGTAAACACCCGATTACAATGATCTATGGACATTGATAATTGGCCTTGACCCCTCATTTTTCGGCATGATTTACAGCCGCTCCATCTACGCAAAAAGAAACTACTTTCTCTTGAAAATTTTCTTGCTTCACTTTCAAAAACTGGTTTGAAACAGCTTCTAGAATTCCATCCGCATGGGCGTCATTGAGCTGTGCAAGACCCAAGAGTCTATTCACTGTCTTTTTTCCCTTTACAATTCTAACGATGACAGCTTCTGTCTCCTTGATGGCATTCTCAACCATGACTGAATAGTGGTGACATTTTTTAATTTCATTTTCAACACTGGCCTTCATCTCCGATGCAAACGTCCCAACAAACTTTGGACATTTACCTCTGTGGCATAGTCATATGACACATCAAGGCCATTCGTTTTTGGAAGAAGCAATATAATGTTCTAAATTTTGTAAATGGCAGTTCCTCCATGGCAAATGTATATGCAGTATTCATTTTGATCATCAAGTCCTTTGTAACAAGCTCAGATGTGATACATTCCTGTTTCTGAAAACCTTGAACCACAGGTTTATTACCAGATTCTTTATTTAGACAAATGTCGCTGCAGCGTTGTGTTTTCCGCTCTTTGAATGCTCCACAACTGTCTCCTTCTTAAAGTGTGACGTCCCAGACACAAAGTCTGTGTTCCCAGCAAACATGGGATATGTAGAACAGTATGAGCAAGTCATTAGATCTTCTCCTGCATCATATTTTAACAATACATTCTTCAGCAAGTCTTGTTTGAATTTGTATTGTCTTGTGACAGTGACTTGGCTTTGTTTGGTTTGTTAGACATGTTAGATTTACCGTCTGTTTTGTTACTACGCGCTCTCCTTGATCAGTTGAGTTAGCCGACGATGTCGTACATTCTGAAGCAGACGAATCTCGAGACCTTTCTTCGGCTAAATCTTGGTTTTCACTTCGTGTCACAGGCACAATTATAACATCCGATCATTATCTTTTGATGCTTGACAAACAGAGGAAAAACTTTCCATGTTGACCGGCCGCCATGCTTTTCACTAACCTTTCTGGAAGATCGGTACAGCACATACGCGAATATAAACTTCCTACATCCTTATGAACTCATAACATTACTTACGCTGTCACAAATAACCTATAAGTGCTTCCTTCGATCAATGTGTGGAGCTTGTCTTATGATAAGTGTTTGTTTACCGTTATATTTTTCGTACTGTTGTTTTGATCACGTTGTCAATTTTAAAATCAAAATTAGTTTAGATGCAATACTCGAGTTGGCGACTAACATGAAAATACTGATCGCAAAATAGAAATTTAGATCGCTAAGCTTCCAAATTTGTTGCAAAATTGAGGGCTGAATAATATGTGAAGCCATTTCAAGTCTTCCCAGTAATATTACTAAAGAGTAAAACCTCACTCACACATCCCATTTCGCAACTGAAACAAGAACAGTGCTTTGATGTGATAATACAATGTACCTGTTAATAGCATTATGGATAGCTGTGTCCCCCTCCTGTCTGTTGACCTCGTTATCTCACCTGGACATCACACCTGTCAATATTGTCCGGGAAGTCAGACAGGTGTATCAACACATTCACTACTTCACTTTGATCACAAATTACCATCTGTAAATACCTTTCGCATTTCTCTTTACACAGAGTAGAACAGATTTAATCCTTGCCCCAGGCAGTCCCTGACCCCACCCTCTTCAACCAACATCCCTGGGGTCCATGACAGTTTGCAGGTAGCCCTCGTTAACTACCTGTGTATCTATCTGTCTACCTACCCCATACGTTTACAACATGATTAATCAATGCACACCTGTCCAGATTAGCCAAGGTTATACAGTCAATGTACGATAATGTATTCAAAACAACGTTCCCATTTGTTTTTTTCTCGATGCGGTTTGAATAATGTAGCTGATAATATATGTACTTCAGTTCGGTGTTCTAAACATGGCCTCCACAAAGTAGAAAAAAATTATGGACAACAATTTTTTTATTTACTGTAAAGGCGACGTTTCTGTATAGAACCTTATACTCTTGTCAAGCAAGACAACGGTACAAGGATCTATACCAAAACATCACCATTACAGTAAACAAAGAAATTGTTATCCATAATTTCCTCTAGTTTGTAATCCTTTAACTTCTAAATAATGCCAAACATTTCAAGGCCTCCACAATTTGGCTCAATCTGCTCTTTACATCAGGACTCATCCCTCTATATTAGGCCGAAATCAAATCCTCTGAACTCTCAAAGGATAGACTTACATTTAGTCTCTGAAATCTTATATTACACAATCTCCTTCTTGACTCAATTTTTTTTTTTAAATTCCCTGTGCCGATTTGCGGAACAGAGCTACCTAGAGCTGGCTAGACTTGCTTTTGTATGCATTTCTAGATTTATTTTTTTTCATAATTAAATATATTCCATGGTCATGGTGGAGGACTATCTCAAGGACTGTGGTTGTAAATAAGCAATGTTCACAATTAAGAGGCAACATTGAGATTCGCTGGTGCAGTATATAAAATTAGACACATCAGTGTTATAGCAAGGCCCCCATGACTTTCATGTTATATTTTAAACACTGATATGGACAAAATTTCTATTTCAGGGTCCAGGAAATCTTTTCAGTTGTGGTGTATCGAGTGGTTGATACAGTATTGTATCCTGATACAAGGTCCACAATACACATGAATAATAACTGAAACTGTTGACAGCTGATGCAGATTCTCTAGTATTTTCCTGTTGGCTGTAAATAGCCCAACATTCACAGTGCCCTCACATGCTTTTTTTCCAACAATATCCCATCTCTTAATTTAAAAAATAAATGATTCAGGGTTGTGGTTCACATGCAAAAAGAAAGAATATCAACTAAAGAAATAAAAGTACTGTATCAGGATACAAATCGTATCTCGCAGTAGTTTCTGGATACGTATCGTATCAGCCTGAACATCCCCCATCTTAATACTGTGCCACCTTTTGTGTTGTTGTTGGTTTGTTGTTTAACGCCGCACTCAGCAATATTCCAGCTATATGACGGCGGTCTGTAAATAATCAAGCCTGGACCAGACAATCCAGTAATTGACATCATGAGCAACACAATTGGGGTACGATGACATGCATAAACCAAGTCAGGGAGCCTGACCACCCGATCCCGTTAGTCGCCTCTTACGACAGACATCGTCATGTAGGTAGTGATATATAGATAGTATTGTTAGGCAATGGCATATAGGAAGTGTTATAGAGACAGTGATGCCTTCAGCTGGATTAATCCCTGTGTGGAATAGGGGCGAGGGCAGCTGGTGTTTCCTTACCCAAACAGGATGTTGTATTTAAACTCATTTTACCGATTAATTGTTAATTGTCGTTTTACACACTCAACAATGTATGCAAAGTTATTTTTGTAGGATTGACCTTTTACAGCAAGCATGGGTTGCTGAAGACCGATTTTACCCCGATTTTCACAGGTTTCCATGACACTTAACTAATCCAGTATCCTTTTACAGCAAACATGGGTTGCTGAAGACCAATTCTACCCCGATTTTCACAGGTTTCCATGACACTAAACTAATCCAGTATCCTTTTACAGCAAACACAGGTTGCTGAAGACCAATTCTACCCCGATTTTCACAGGTTTCCATGACACTAAACTAATCCAGTATCCTTTTACAGCAAACACGGGTTGCTGAAGACCAATTCTACCCCGATTTTCACAGGTTTCCATGACACTAAACTAATCCAGTATCCTTTTACAGCAAACACGGGTTGCTGAAGACCAATTCTACCCCGATTTTCACAGGTTTCCATGACACTAAACTAATCCAGTATCCTTTTTCATATAGACATAAAAGTAACAAAATAACTCTCACTTCCAGTCATCCATGACGGAACCATGCCATGCCAAACTCTCTGTGGGTTGTCATGGTAATTACAAGCACCTGCTTCAATGGAACTGGCTTTAATATGACATTATCTCCAAAGCAACTTTAACGTAGAGGGATGGCCTATTTTCTGTGTTGTGTCAACATGAAAGGTGTGATTGACTGGTATCTTAATGTCCGACCTCTTGTCCCTGGTTCACACTGACACAAATACACCCAATATTCATTTGAACTCAGAGCATCGTAGTAACATTGTATAAATTTAGCCATTGTTGCCATATATAGAGCAGTAACGAGGCAATCTGCATGAGAATTAATCAATACCCACTGCATGCATCGTTAGGTGTACAGACAATGAACATTATACAGGTAACCAGTGTGCAGACTCGAGGCACAGCACGGGACATCTTTACCTATGTGCAATACCCATCAAACATTGTCTCTCCCAATCAGGAGACTTTCACCAGCCTCAGCTGAAAGGACACAATTTAGACTGGTGGGGTGGGGTGAAAATGGAGGTAAAAATGGAGGACTGTGAATCTATAAATAAGCCATTGGGATCATGGAGGTCAGAAAAGGACAGGTCACTTCTTTCCGGGGTCCCTGACCTGGGCTCCCTCTCAATCTGAAGCACAACTCAATACATGGAAATGTTAGACTAAAATTTTGAGTGTCACACCACTGCAAACTGATCAGACATCTCTTTAGATCTGTGCTGATCAAAGGTGGTTTACACACTCTATGTATGCAATGTTGTTATTTTTGTAGGATTACCAGAAAAAGCAGAAACAGTATATGCATAACGGCTGAGAATCACAAGATAGAGAAACGTGGCAAACCTATCAGGCAATGAAAACAGTGTTACCGCTGCACCGGTAGCTTTAGGGCACCCCTCTAAATAGGTTTGTTTTGGAAGCCAATTACGAAACGTGTGATTTCAGCAATTTCACATTTAAATACTTTCTACGAA